CACCAGAGTACGCCTAGAGATTGGATATTTCTGAACGCGTTGGTCTTAACTGGCAGAAAGCAAAGCGTGAATGCAACGGAAACTGCACGATTGTGTAGTGTCATATTGAATTTACTAATTTTGAAAAATTATGATTAAATAAATGCTAGGAAGAAACAGATACACAACAAGTAGATAGTTTTATTATAAAGATGAACAACACCACCCTCATAGGAAACAGAGATGGCATAATTACAAACAGGACAATATTCAATTCAAGTTACTCTGCAACAATGACTGAGAAAATCACATGCTGCACAATAGGATCTATAGGCTTAATTGGAAATGCACTGGTTGTGTATATTTTTCTCAAATCTCCGAAACTTAGCGACAAATCTCAAACATGTTACTTATAAATCAAAGTTTCATAGACATGTTTGCATCAGTTTTGATTATCTTAAATAAATTGTTTGATGATATGGGATGGATAGTAGAGACAGGCCCTTTGGCGACAATGTATTGTAAAATCTGGCTATCGCAGTATTTGCTTTGGGTCTGTATAATCACATCCACAGCAAACCTAGTCGCCCTGACAATTGAGCGATACTTAGCACTAATGCATCCTTTATCGCACAAACGTTTGGTCAGCAAACAAAAGATAAAGATTGTGATTTTATGTGTGTGGATTCCAGGAGTTTTAATCAATACATATGAGATATTAACAACTGAACTACAAGGACAATTTTGCTCACTGTGGACTGAATGGCCAAGTGAACTTTTCCAGCGCTGTTTTGGAATAGTTTTAGTAATAATGGAGTATTTTGTACCGATAGCTATATTGATATATTGTTATGGAAGACTTGCATTTAAGATTCATGTAGAAATGAAGAAGAGTCATACCAGATCAGTCCAAAGAGACAGACACATGTTTCGAGCCCGATCCAACATTATTCGTACACTGATACTTGTATCTGTATGTTATGTTTTATGCTGGACTTGGAACCAAACCTACTTTTTTCTGTACAATATTTGGGTTGTCAAGGACTTCAATGGATTGATATACCATATTGGAGCCTATGGTCTCTTTGCAAACAGTAGCGTGAATCCCATTCTTTACGCTTTCAGTCACTCAAAATTCCGTAATGCCTTGATTCAAAAATTCAAAACTAAAGACAATACCCAAGCCTTGGTTTCAACCAGTGAAAATATTCACTCACTTCAAAGATTCTCTTCTCATATTGAGCTTAATGTTTTGGGAGAATTCAAAGTCTACGATGTACATAAGGCATATCTAAGACACACATCAGATGTAGACCCGATGTCACAACCTGGTTGCACTCTCTAGTAAAAAACAAATGTTCCTGATTTAGATGATGACTTAAAGATTATTGGTATTAGTAATACAATTTCCATGAAGTACAAGTTGTTTTCAAAACTTTAAAAACAGGGAACTCGGTTATGTGCTACTGTGGATATATACTTTAGCCAGTGAACATCTCCTGTGTTGAATTACGACTAGAATATATATGAAAAGTGTAACATCTTTACCACAGTTCGGGCACCAACTGAATTATTAGCTATATTAACTAATGTTGGGAGCAAACGGGACATAACTTAGGATAGATGCTTTCAAAGGGATGTTCTAGAAACCCATTTGCTGTGTCACTGAGATACCATGTCAAGCTTATATTATGCTCACACCGGAATAGCCCGACAACGGTAAAGTCAGATACCGTTGTCACAAATGGCGGAATCAACAGAATATCCATCCATTCGAGTCCTTGCAAAAAATACAAGTTAGGTAGGCAATTATATTTGCAAACTTTATTTTACAAAAAAGTGATACGTTTTTTCAAGTTCAACAAAGTCGTCTTTAAAGTCAAAATTGTTTACAAAAAAAGTCTCCCATTGAAATAACACAGGAGGCGAAAAATGATTTTCCAAAAATGACATTGAAGCTCTGTAACTTTAGTATTAATCAAGTAAACTAAACACTTATTGTACAAAAAGTTAGACAGTTCAATTTTCTATGTGAAATTATTTTTTGCTGAATCTTTTACTAAATAGATATCATGATTTCTGATTTGCCCCGAACCAACCATTTCCCATTGGTTTACATGGGAATGACGATTTTCAAAAAGTCATCAAATTTATTATAAATGTTCGACCTATTGTAATTGAGGAAAAAATTGGGAAAATTTGGAGTATTGGAAATAAAGTCAAGTTACGTTTCCATCAATATTTTAAGTAATTTGATCGCAGGGTAAGTAAACAAAAATTTAAGCGTGAAGGGGCTTTAACACGTAGTTCAATGGGGGAGCTAAGGTTGCCAAACTTATGGAGGGGAGTGTAACTTGGCTATGAATCGGGCACATTGTGATCAAACCATGATACAATCAGACGCATTGCCATATAAATAATAAGAAGTACAAAAATGCATTGATCTTTATTTTGTTCAAAGTTAAACATTGCACAAATCAATCAATGAGAATTTACTTTGATATCGTACCTTGTAAAAAATGATAGGAATGATCTTTTAAACATTGTTTTTCAAAGTATGTTAGAACACCATAGGCTTAATAAAAATTTGTGTTGGCCATATATGAGAAACATCCACTCAATTATGAAAGATAGAGGACTGGATGATGTTATGTTTAGACCTAACACTTCCTGGATGAAGACATATAAAGCCATCACAAATAGCCAAATGAAAACTGATATATCTAAATCAATAAATGTAAAATCCTCACTAAACGTTTATAAACAGGTTAAAACGAATTGGGGTCTTGAACGTTACATGCACATTTCAAATGATTTTAGACTTGCTGTTTTAAAGTTTCGAGCTAGGACAGGATGTTACATGGTTGGTGCAGATTTGAAAAGATGGGGCCATAGTGATGGATTATGCAAATTTTGTAATTCAGGGATTGATGATCTTTCCCACCGCCTACTATTATGTCCATATTTCACCTCCCATCGTTCTGTCTTATTTTCGAACATAAAGAGTGCACTTGAAGGCAATAATGAACATGTTTTTAACCATTTTATATCTCTTAATGTTCAGGGCAAATTACAATGGCTACTGGGCAATGATATACATAGTGTTTATGGGCATGAGATTGAAGTTTTGAAGTATCAAACAATTTTTATCTAATGCATTTGTTTCACCCTAATCTCAATGATACCACAAATGAATATGTTTTGTATTTTATGTACATTTTTGTAAGAGCACCCAGTATTGGTGTGCCACCGTTTTAAAGGTGTAATAAATAAATAAATAAATAAATAATAAATAAATATCGATATGCTTATGATATGTTTATTTTGTATCGACAATCCACGGTTTCCATGCATAAACGTCATCTTCTGGACTGTCATTGGCGCCTTCACTTACAAGTGCAGGGGCACCAACAGGGTCAGGGCAGGGGTATGGTTCAGGTTTAGTCAATGGTTGTAGCTCTTTTAGCCTATCTAGCATTTCCTTGACCTACAGCAGAACATACAAGAACCTCGTTGCATTCATACACTAGGTTCGGGGGACCAACAGGGTAAGGACAGGGGTTCAGGGTTAATCCCGTCTTATAGTTTATCTAGCATCTCCTTGATCAACAATAACATGCATTTTCCACAAGTTTGATAAACTACGTTAGTGCAATTAAGCGTGTAATTAGACTATTTTGTCAGAAAATCATCTCGTTTTACTTACGCAGTGTGGTCCAAAAGTGGAGAATTTAATAAAATGTCGCAAACAAATTTTGTTCACTCAAACACATCAAATGTTTCACGAACAGAATTTAGTCAATTGTACCATTAAGTGCAGAAGTACATACGATCGTTTAAAACTAGAAAATTCGTAATATTACCCAATTCACGTAAACAATATATTGCTGCTGATTAATCAAACTGTTTATTTTGGACGCTTTTAGAACGTATCGATTGCACTTTGGTATTCTCTATTTGTGAATAGGAGTTAGGATTGACACGACGCTTCCAATGATACGAGTTTTGATTTGTGTGTCTTTCCATGATCTGCTCATTTGCTAATTGGAGAGAACATAACATTTCGTGCTGGTGCAAATATTAATCTTAATATAAGATAATATTTCATATCAATTAGCAAATTGGGTATAGTCATATCTGTTTATACAGCACAAGAGGGTTATTACCAAAACATTGGCTAGAAATACGATACAAATGGTAGGTGAGTTCTATTATGAAAATATTGTTCCATTTTAGTTGACAAATGCATCTTCCACTTTTTCGACCATCAAATGCATAAGTAGTAAGCCAACAAACCTTATTTGGCATCTTTGAACTTAATTCTATCTTCTCCTCTGGATCGTCTTTAATGTTGTACAGATGTACATTGCTTGTGTCATTAAGATCTGGTTCGACAGTCACAAGTTCAGGGTATTCAGCAGGAGCAACCCAACCACCATACGCTCCATTATAATATATCCCTAAAGATGACAATTTGTCATTGACATTGGATCTTCTTGGTCTATCGTAGAAGAAATTTGTTTAGGCATTTTTAGTTTCATATTTTACTTTTCCCATTCATAGTGTACGGAAAGATATAAAAAGTGTCTTCAAAATCGTGATTCATACGATATTTTGACTTTTTAGTTAAAATAGCTATACTAAACGATGATAAGTAACAGAACAGTCAATGTCACTGAAAAACTCATTCTTTACAAAACGATGCAAAACTGATGTTATGGTTAACATGGAAATTAAGGTTCCTACGGCCAAGTTACGGGCGACCTTCTATAATAATGACATATCAAAAAACCTTGTGCTATTCTATATAGGGATTCTGTTTGCTGTAAATAGCGGTGCATGCTCATATTTCACATTTCAAGGAACCCAACCGATAAATAACAAAAAATGGCAAGTCACGTTTTGATAAGTTTTAATAACAACCTATTACTATATAGTCGCCCATTCGAAGGCGTTTTGACAACAATTAACTTACTTCCGGTGAGTAGTTTATACTTTTCTATCCTAATCGCAGCTTGGATCGAACTGTCAAATGTATCTGGGTAGAGGGGGCTCCCGAGTCTGGGTATTTCCGGGTTCAAACTATGAAGTATCTCAGTTCTTGGGCTTGGTTTAGAGACACTGCAATTAAAATAGACTTAAATTGAAAATGGTTTAGAGAGACTGCAATTAAAATCGACTTAAATTGAAAATGGTTTAGAGAGACTGCAATTGGAATCGACTTAAATTGAAAATGGTTTAGAGACACTGCAATTGGAATCGACTTAAATTGAAAATGGTTTAGAGAGACTGCAATTGGAATCAACTTAAATTGAAAATGGTTTAGAGAGACTGCAATTGGAATCAACTTAAATTGAAAATGGTTTAGAGAGACTGCAATTGGAATCAACTTAAATTGAAAATGGTTTAGAGACACTGCAATTGGAATCAACTTAAATTGAAAATGGTTTAGAGAGACTGCAATTGGAATCAACTTAAATTGAAAATGGTTTAGAGACACTGCAATTGGAATCGACTTAAATTGAAAATGGTTTAGAGACACTGCAATTGGAATCAACTTAAATTGAAAATGGTTTAGAGAGACTGCAATTGGAATCAACTTAAATTGAAAATGGTTTAGAGAGACTGCAATTAAAATCAACTTAAATTGAAAATGGTTTAGAGAGACTGCAATTGGAATCGACTTAAATTAAAAATGATGATTAAATGTAAGTATCTTGAACATATTATCAATACATGACTTACTTGCATCAATCATGTAAACATATGATAAGACATTATCCCGCATTAAAGAGGGAACTGATGTTACCCCATTTTATTCTAAACTGAACTATGAAATTTTAAATGCAATACATTTAGTAGGGCTTTTGATGTTGCAATGATCTCAATATAAAGAGAACCTTAGAGGTCTATCCCTACATGGAGATGATAGGGGTTTATCTTTGATGAATATCATTACTGACAAAAATCACTTTTTTTTGAAAACAAAATTTCAATTTCAATTTACTTTTGGTTAAGACTACGATTCAGGCTCTGTCTTTTTGACTAGGGTAAGTCATTCATTTAGTCATTCTTCTGGGCAGGTTTTAGGCACGAACGATTTATTTTGGAGTTTTTGAAAGGAAATCTCCCTGATTTATATATATTTTAATTACCGGATAGAATTCCAGACATCATACGAGTCAACACCGGAGTTACCTATATCTGCCTTAGCTAGGGATAGGAAAGTTCTGTACCAGTCAGTCATGTGGATTAATCCACTGTAAGGTTTGGGTAAATCTTTGCCTAAAATTTGAAATCATAGTTATTGGGAATGAAGAACAAGAACTAACTATGTGAATCTGACTGGTAAAATGGTATCACATATTCCTGATTAAAAGGCAAATATGTAAGTCTCGTGATGAATAAAACGTTTTCAAGATTATTTTGTTGAAATTTTCGAGTGGTACCTAAGCATTGCTCGCCATGGGTCACCGTAGGATTAATGATATTATATCACCAAAGTACCTAAATATTGAACTTTGGGTCGCCAAGGTTCACAACAGCCCCAAAATGAAGTTTACGCCAAATATCAAGATATTTACCTGTTCCCTTTGAATGACCTTGGCCCATAACGTTGACTGTGACCTAAGGTCACCTAATCATGGGTCGTGAAGGGTCTTAGCAATGACCAAGTGTCTTAAAAACCTTAATACCTAGATATTGACCTTTTACCTTGGAATGAACGTGACCTTCGTAGAATGCCCACTGAGCCACTTAGTATGTTTAAGTTTGAAGGTCAAGCGGTATAGGGTATATTCAGGCAGACAGACAGAATGAGAGGCAGAATGACTGACCACAGTGCTTTATAGTAAGGCCATCCCCTTACAGCGACAAACATTTATCAAAAATTGTTACGCGGTAAACACGATACAAATATATGTCATATTCCGTTACGAATATGGCATATTCACTTGTTGCATATGCCAGATTCACCTGTGGTATACGGCATACACATTGACCAATGAGAACGCGATACGGAAGTACACAATTGTCAATTACATTGATTCAACGAACGTGCTAAAGTTTATGAATTATTATTATGATTACTGAATCAACATCTTAGTGCATTGAATATATCAACTAATACAATTGAATAACATACACCAGTACGGTACCGGTTTGTTTGAGGCTGTTTGTGTTAGTGTTACACGCAAAAACACACTTCAACGGAAACATTATGACGCATAAATAAACGAACTTACACTTTTGAAGCTTATATGTGACTTTTATAACCAAATCAATATTGACAAAAGTCAGATAAAAACCTAAAAAGTCACGAGTGTTTATATATTGTTGTATTGGCAATCACGATATATACATTTCTGATACTTTCAGGAGTATCATTTAGCAATTACGCATAATAATCGTACTTAATCAATCCAGCATTCATTTATATTAGTACTCGAAGCGCTAACTATATTGGTAATCCAGCGTAGTTTTCCATTTAGGATCGATTCTTTTGACCAATCAAATCGAGGGTTTCTGTATCGCGTTTTCATCTGCAGTATTTGGCATATTCCGCAGTTGAGTATGCCATATTCCGCAGGAGAGTATGACTTATTCCGCAGTGAGTATCTGGTATTCACTTAAGTCAATGTATCGCATATGCACTGCGGAATATGCCATACTAACCTGCGGAATATGTCATATACCGCAGGTGAGTATGACATATTCACCCGTATCCCAAATACCGCACAACCATGAATATATGCCATATTCCGCGTCAGCTATATCCAAGTCCAAATATTGCTAATAATCGAAGAATTTTCTTTAGCTCCCCTCGACGATCTACTGTCCCATTCACCCACTTACCTTTACCGCCATGAGTTATGGCACCGGCTAGTATACCTAAACCGCGTATTCTGCCCTCGAAGTAGTTCATTCCTGCCCCCCTTAGCGGCCAATTGTTTTGCACATTCTTGTTCCCGCCTTTGTCTGAAAGCAAGTCATATTTTTAAAATGACACATCGACATGGGTTAAGGAGACAGCATCCTCCGAACACAGGCCTCCAGAACTCGTACCTCCTTCTTCCAGGAAGTAGCAAGGAACTTTGTGGATGATGTCTGGAACCCTGCGTTCGGAGGATGAGGAGACAGAAACAAAGGAAATGATATCAATATATTATTCATTCACAAATGACCGTTATAAAATTATAAAAATTTACACAGCGAGTTGATCCTTCGTTGCTAGTATAGAAATAAAGCACACTTTAAAAACATAGAAAGTTATCATGAATACTCGCATATTATGAACGCGTCCGCTTTTTTTCCATATTGTACCGACCCTAGTTAACTCAGATATACGAACCGGGTGTAAACAGGAGGACTGTGTTTTCCCAAAGGTCTTTGTCTTTTAGCTTCTGGATGATTTTCCCCAACCCTGTATCAACTGCATTTACCATGGCTGTAAGATTAAAAAACGAATGGCTCACAATAATTGTGTCATTAACTGATATTTAAATATAAGCATTACTGCAAGTTCCACGCATTAAACATCGACACCCGGCTTATTCTTAAATTAAGATACTTTGACCAGGTCAAGGGAACCGTTCTTTTTAACTCAAAAAGATACAGGGTGTCCGGAAAGTAAAGATACAAATACTCTAATTTTAAGGGATTTAGGATTTTTGCAATGAAATTGCTACAGATCGTAGAGAAACATTATAACAATGTGTCAACCAACTCTCATTGCATATAGTCTAAACTGGTTAAAGTTACGGTTGTCATTGTTACGGAAGTGAGAGGTATGTGGAGCAGTTCCAGAACATCGCTAAAATCAGATTAATTGCTAAAATATAACCATTTGTAAGAGTGTTTATCATTGTGTTTTCTATCAATGTTTTCTTTTCTTCAATACTGTATTATTGTTGCTTTTATGTTCTCTTATGTATGATGGTGTCATTGATACATGTCAGAACTATGTTACGTCATCAGTGTAATCAAAGAAATATTATTCAAGTGCTTAAAATAAAAGTTCCCTGGGTTAATAAGGAAAGTCAATATTGCACCTCCACAATGCACCAATTCACAAAGCAAAGCCAACAAATCTCAAAATGGAGTGTCTTGACACTAAACCTTTTTGTACAATGCCCAATATTTACCTGAAAAAAAAACCCCCTTTAGACTTTAACCTTAATGAGCATCTCAAAGCGTTATTTGTTAGAAGTTCAGTATTCAAATGAGACTCAACTGGAAGCGAATGTTATCAGCAATCTGAAGACAAATAGCAGCGGTCTTGTCCGGTCTTTGAATCTCTGGTCTTTGAATGCACCACAAACATATAGATAATCAGGGGAAAACATAATACTGGATAATCATAGTCATGTAAAATGATAAAATAACATTAGAGTACTAATCCTTATGCTGTTGTGGGACATACTGTGATGTTTTATAGGAACAAATGGTTGAGTGCCACGATGATATGAGTAGGATAAAGATTCATAAAAGACAATAAAAAATAATTGTGACGCTGCTCCACATACCACCAACTCCTGTTACCATAACGACCATAACTTTTTCATTTTGAAACTATTTGTCATGACAGTTACAGGATATATTGTTGAAATGTCATTCTACAATCTGTAGCAATTTCATATCACAACAGGTAAATCTATCGAAGTTAGAGCATTTGTATCTTTTACATCTGTAAGGACGGTACACTAAATTTGGTCAACAATTAATTTACACGTGTTCTTACGATCGTGTCTAAAATAAACATTTTTTGAGAAAAGAATATGTGCAGTATGGCAAGTGATTTTAGACGGTCATATCTTTCACAATGAGAACTTTCTGTGCATAAATACAGTGGTTTTTATTAAAACAATATGTTTTCTTTCAAGTTACTGTACCCATGATGATAAAAATTTCGATCAAACAATTCAAAAAATTATGTCAACATTTTTTTTAAAAGAGGATCTTCTTTTTCTGATTTTTATTGCATGGAAATATTATTCAACAAGGGGTCTAAAACATCTTCAAAAAAGAATGGTATTGAAAGTCTAGTTTCGAAGATATTAATTTTCGATGACCAAAATTATGCTGAATACAATGGATAGCACGAGTTTTCCCTATGGGAAAATAGCATGGGATATGTGGTTTCTAACTTTAACGCATTTCAATACCTATCCCCTTCTCGGAAATTGTTAATAAAGTGTAGGAGAAACTTTCAATATGTTTAAATCGAGAAAAACAAGAGCCTGTTTTATAAAATGAGCATAACATTTTTTTAAAAGTGCCAAGGTTGGGCTCTAATCCATAATTTTTCAGAGAGTTGGATTGATTTTTTATTAACATGGGGACTTAACTTGAAAGAAAACATATTGATTTAATAAAAAACACTGTATTTATTGCCAGAAAGTACTTCTGGTGAAAGATATGACTATCCAAAATCACTTGCGATACTGCACATGGACCTTTAAATGGAAAAGCAAGCGTATATGCAACATAAATACAAACACTTCGGTTATGAAACTTCAAATAGAATTCAAGGGGTGGATTAGCATAATTTGCAAGCGACCGTATATCATATTACACAATACACTATACAAGTCTTTCGTTATACTAATGAACTTTTCAGAAGTATTGTCCACAAATGTTTGAAAATATATAGACATCAATAATAAGATACCTGCAAAGTCCTTCCTTGGACTTTTGAGAGGACCAAGTTTGCCATCTGGTATATCAATAATTTTATTTTTATATTCTTCTGGCGGATTAGCTGGCTTTCGAGTTTCATATGCCACAGTCAAAAACAATGCCTACAAATAAGAAGCGTACAAACAGTTAAGAGCTACACGAGATCATAGGGTGTAGAAGGGATCCAAAAATAGTATTCCGAAATATATTTTGTATTTTGGTATTTTGTATTAAGTAGAATTGGAACATTGTCGTACCTTGTCGTCGTCTTGCATTTCAATCCTTTCGATTGCCTTTGATGTTATCAGATCTGTTCCAAATTCTCCATCGGCGTCAAGAACTGGTTCGTCGTTTTCCCAAAAATCAAGTCCTGTGTTACAAAAACAATACAGGAATCATTGCATTAGGAGTTCGTTAAGCCCAGGACTAAAAGTAGCTTGAAGTAGATTTAATGACCATATGTTAAAGAAGGAAACTGTTGGCATTATGTGAAGTGAGAATAACACAACAGTTTTGAATTTTATTGCAACCAATTGGGCAAATGTACGAATATATAAGCACAAATGCCAAAGGGAAGGGTGACTAAAAACTTTAAAGAAACCCAACAAGAAAAGCAAAGTGTAAGTGTAAATCTGTCATAAGAAAAGTAGACCCTATATATCCCAAAACCATAATCTAACGTGAAAAGAAACAGTGTCTAATATTCCCCTCTCCCTTCCAATCGAGAACCAATATCACAATCCAGGACAAGAACACCAAGGGACATTTCATTCATACTGAAGTCATTACAATACGTACATGTTGAAGAAAAATTGAAAAAATTGATAGCCAATATTTATAACATCAAAAATAGTTGTAGATACTAGTACTCATAAAAGATAGAGTATTCAGTCTCAAATGATGCGGGATAGATACAATCCAGTCTCGAAGTCCATAGGCAATCCAAAGGGTCAACATCCGTTCGCAAAGCCGTCATCATAATCCATAAAACACAACAATTCACAATGGTCATCAGGAGAAAACTATGGCTGGTTTCGATCCCTATTTCTCAACCATAGTGGTTTGTGATACAATATAAACACTACCTCTGAGAACATATGCCTTGCTTTGACAGGATTTCAAACAATCTCTGATGTCAGCAGCCCTTTCATAACAACATATTTTCCCTTGTGTCGTCTCATTTCCCCTTTTAACACAAACTGCTTTTGTGTGTTCAAAGTAGCTGCCCCTCCATCCCATAAAACTACCTGTAAATTGTATAAGTGTATTAAAATCCGTATTTGTGCCAAGTTGTACTATACGGTTGAAGACCTCTTTTCTCTCCAGACAAAAATGACTTTTGATACCGTAGTTATTCAGTTTTGAATGATATGATCAATGTATCGTTATCGGATTACGTTCGTGAAAGTACTTCATTTTTTAGCCCAGAATTAAGCATATGATCCCTACATTGTGTATCAAATCAGGCATCGTGGCAAAGAATTAGACCATGTGAGTTTGAACATACTATAATACAGACACTACAATACCATAGAAGTAATCAAATCCTCTGTTTCTAGGTAAACACGACGTCCTTGAATATCCCATCTGCCATTTACCAATGAAAGACGTAGAGTAACCAACACGTTGTAACCTCTCAGCCAGATTAAGTTCATCGTGGGGAACACAATTGTCTACGGCATTCTGGATAAATGCCATTGATCCAGTGTTTGGCTGGAAAAGTAATCAAATTTAGTTTTTTATCCCTCTTAATACTGAATTCCAGCTGAATTCTGAAGTCTTGATGTTTTTCTACCCTCGACTTGTTTAGGACGATAAAACAGCACGGATTCATTTGAAGCAGAGAAATGCTTTACAAAACAAAGATGTGTAGGACTTTGAAAAGGTCGTAAAGTCGTATTGTCTAACTGAATGTGATATCCAATTTATCCCTAAGACAACTAAGCCCAAGACAACTCATCCCTCGGACAACTCCAAACAAGACCATTCATCCCAGTTATGAGATGGATAAATAGATTATTGTTATACATATTTTTTTTGTTTAAACATTAATTTGAGTGCAAAATTAGCCCGAAAAAACTAAATTCTTAAAAAGCAATCCAAAACAGCGTTGGATACCTAAATGTATAAGAACAAGCTTTTCTCAAAGAGACCTCTTTTCTAATATTAATATATATGCCAAGGAAAGTCCATGTCCAACCATTGTTGTAATTGATGAACATCAGTTGATACACTATTTTTCAAATATAAGTTTAAATATTTAAATTCCTTGTACACTGTTTTGTTATATTTCAAGATCAGATAAGATATCTCGGGATGAGTTGTCTCTGGATGAGATGCCCACGTGAAGAGTTGTCTTAGGGATGTGCTGTCCTGTTATATATAAGGTTCCTTTTATGTACTTACGAAGTACTTCCCAGTCATCAGACTTGCTCTAAAACCGGTTGCAAATGCTTCAACGTAGTAATTGTCTAGGCGGATTCCTTCTTTTGACAAGGTATCTATGACGGGTGTCACAAACTTGGGGTTCCTAAACCCAACGTCATTGTAACCAAGTGCATCAGCGATTACGATAACAATGTTTGGAGCTTTTATGGAATAATATTACAGAGCCATTGTATGCATAAAGCAAAATAATATAAAGTGTAATCAAATAATTAAGATACACTTTGTACTTTAAAATCAATAAACACATGTTCGTTTTAATTATATTTGAATTTTCATGAATTTATTTAAGACAATTTGAATTATGATTTACTTAGAGGAGATGTTTTTTTTTCAATTTTGAAACTTCATCAACGGCGTCACATTTTAATTATTTTAGCTCATAAAAAACATGACCCCAGAAATGCAATTAAACGATTGATGAAAAAATCGAGACACGTGATATTAGCAATGATCAAATACCAATGATTCCACAGGTGGTATAAAATAATACAATTCCTGTAGGAAAATTCTTTACCTTTAAGTTTTCCTTGACATTCGACGGAAAATAATGCAACGAAAACAGCGGTGAGCGCAAGCATTTTCGTTTCCATAATAGCATGTGAATTCCAATTGAAATGTCAAATATGCAATACGAATTTAACGTTTGGAAATATGAAGATATATAAGGTTTATATAATATATTGCTGTTTTTATCGAAAGTTAATGGTCGTCATTTGAAACATATTGCATTGATATCGTCTCATTTCCTGCACAATATTAGTTTAGATAAATTTATATGTAAAAGATAGCAGACTCATATTAATATTGTTAACATCGAAAAGTCAATTTACTTAACATATTGTCTGGTCTATGTCCGATATAAAAAAAAACTGGTTAATGGCTTAAATTGTATCTAACATTGTATATTACTAATACAAACTGAAGCTTATTCTAATAGGCATTTACTGAAGTGTTTTTGTATCCAGTCGAACTTTTCATGATGATGTTGTTGTTGTTCATGTTACTGTTGTCTTTGTTATATTTCCATAATACTTGAGTTGTATTAGTTGGGAGGGAATTATACACTGTATAGTCTTATATATAATACAATCTAAATCATAACCAATCGATCCCAAACTACCATTTTAAGATCAATGAAGATGTAACTGAAATGGGCAATGCAAACATACTGACCGGCTTTCTTCAAAATAGCTCAGTATTTTATGAAGTACATTTCATATACAGTACATTTAGCTTAACAGAGTCTAGTTAATATGTTACCTTGCAAAGTTTCTGCGCTTGGTTCAGTTGTAATGCTTGGTTCAGATCTCTTACCTGAAACTATAGATGCCATGCAATATTAATTTCAATGCTGCAATGATATTTCAAGATGTTTGAAACTGAATTGGAATTTAAATTCATTGTTGTCCAATATGAGTGACATTTACAAAACGAGCAATTCTTGACAACACTTACTGACTATTAGTATTAACCAAAATTTTCAAAAGGTCTTAAATAAGCTTGGATGTCCTGTTTAAGAACCCGTATTCTTAATATTGAAAATGGATTCTAACATTACTGTCCCATATGAATCTTCTTGTTGAGTCCGATCAACTTGAGTTCTTCTGAGAATACGAGAATTTCAGCAAGGGTACTATTGACTTAAATGGGGACGCAATTTACCTTAATTCTGCATATGTACATTGTGTGAATGTAGTTACGCAGGGTAAATTACATGCCCACGTTTAGTCAATGGCACCCCGGCTTAAATAAAGAAGAACTCAAGTTGATCGAGTCCTGAACAAGTACACGTAGATTCATTTGGGAGGGTGTTGGTAGGACCCATTTTCAAAAGTACATTAGGTTTGATTGTAGAACGTTTTGCAGGTTTTACTCACTTTGACATTTTGTGATTGGTCGTCTTGGTGACCATCTAAATCGATTTCCTTTCTCTTTACAAGTTTTTGTTTCTGGTCCTACTAGTTCGAAGCCATTGTGACATGAGAATGTAACTATTCCTCCGACGGTTCTCTTATCATAACTGACATTTCCATGTGATAGTGTTGGCATTTTACATGGCTTCTTTTTCTTCACTTTTTGCGTGAGGCATAGGCCCAGTATGCATATTAATGCTCTCAAATTCATACCTTCACCCAACAGTGCTTATTATCGGAAGTCTAATGATACCGATACATTTTAGTTTCGCATATTATTTATATATTGTATAAATATTAAATGTAGTTTAACGCACAAATGATACTTGTTTAATGTTGAATAAATAATAATTTAATTTATTGAAGTAGAAATACAGGATGTGTGAAAAAATATGTTGCTAGAAATCTAACAATAATTTAACATAACATATATGTATTTATATAGATGTAATTTGTCAGGACCAAAACATTTAATCAAAACACTTTTCAGTTTTGACTTTGAACGTTTTCAAAGGGACCAGATGCTACATGTACAATACACTAGACGAGGATATCTGTCGAAAGTATGTATATAAATATGTCCCTATAAGGTGTAAAAATAAACATGTAGTAAAACTCATAACCATTTATTTAGATAAAACTAAACTAAACTAAGTTATTGATAATATATTTAGGATTTCATCCGTGTATTTGAATCTTTTCATCTATCCAGTCTAAAAAGTTCTCCACTTTAGTGTACACACCGGGTCTCTTAGGAATGCCACATCCTAAACCCCAACTTGCAATTCCTGAAAGTATAAACGATATGCAAATATTGATATATCATAGTATCTTACGGTTACCGCAGGCTATATTCCCACTTGCAATTCCTGAAAGTATAAACGATATGCAAATATTGATATATCATAGTATCTTACGGTTACCGCAGGCTATATTCCCACTTGCAATTCCTGAAAGTATAAAACATATGCAAATATTGATACATCATAGTCTCTTAGGGTGCCACAGCATATACCCCAATAGCAATTCTTGAAAGTACCAACGGTATGCAAATATAGATACATCACTGTCTTTTAGGGATGCCACATCCTATACCTATACTTGCAATTCTTGAAAGTATCAACGATATGCAAATATTGATACATCATAGTCTCTCAGGAATGCCACAGTCTATACCCCAACTTGCAATTACTAATTGAAATATACCACTGATTTTCAAATATTGATACAGCATCATCTCAGCCAAATATGTTTGAATAAATAGATAATAGCCTCACAATCTTACTCTGATTTGATGTAATATTTCAAAGATGTCCATATTTAAGCCGTACTAAAAAGTATGTGTATGTATTGTTTCAGTTTTAGTTCAATTTAATGTCTAATGTAAAGTTGTAAAAACTGACAAAACAGTGGTCATATTTGAATATATTGGCCCTAATGATGTTTGTAATCGTAAAATTTACTCAATCAATGTTTTTATTGAGTGTAATGACGATAATGAGCTTTTAAATGATAATATTTTGGAATTTGATAGATAACAAGATAGTCGAAGTGACAACATGTTTGTTTCTGACTCACTAAAACACAAGTTAAAACAGAACAAACTTTGACGGGGAGAACATTTTTTAGTTTCAGGTCCATCTCTAAGATAAATTGTCGACGTGTCATAAATTTTCAGATGTAAATAGAAATTACCTTTCAATGTCCACTGGTTAAGATTGTCTGCACAGAACATTGGTCCTCCACTATCACCCTAAATGAGATGTTTATACAGCTTATCAAATATGTCTGAGTAACATTTTTGGGCTACAACCGACGTTAGCCGAATAGCGAAACCTAGACCTTTCAAGTAATTTGATTAGTTCCCTGAAGAATATTCAACCATCTTCGTGACATAAACATTTAGTGACCTCATTGGAGTATCTTGTGCTGACATCAGCGACTTATGACAATTTGATTTTTCCTTCAAAGGAAAAGTGTATTTGAACATCGCTCCATCTAGATTATTTAATGATTTTTGGATGGATTTGGTTATTAGCCTTTCTGATCCTATTTGTTCCATTTTGAATCGAAAAACACATTTTGGAATCAAAGTCATTGTTAAAATATAATAAAATTTACCATACATGCATCCTTTCCACCTTTCTCAAAACCAGCACAAATCATATTGTTGCTAATTCTTCCCTCCATCCAATCTTCTCTGTTACATATACTGGTGTCAATTAAGGGAACGATGACCTTCAATATGAACAGAGACAATTATCCGTGAGGTCTATATTTGCTTTTTAATTTGCATAGTTTAGTTTTAGTATAGTTAAGTTTATTTATTTATTTATAGTTGTCAGTCTTACAATTCAATTATAAAATATAAAAATTAATTACAATTTTACTTTTAAACTATACATTGAAGAGATGATGCTATGCATTCTTTAGACAACTTGAACATGTAGAAGTATGGTTCTGGCTAGTTCTGTCATCCTCAATATTTACCTGTTCGATAGAGTTTCAAAGTTTTGATGTCATGGTAGAGAGCTTTGAATATAAGTTTTCAGCCAAACTTAAACTGCAATTTTAACTTTTAAATGACGTAAACACCACTGGGGAGGACGGTTTCTCAAAGAAACCAGGAAAGTACATTTCATTAGAAAAGTTTTCCTCATTCCCCTATCCTGGAAATAGATTTGTGAATATCCCGGCAATGGCATAATTAATTTCTAAGTTGTAATCATATTTTGAAACCAGAACTCACGAACTACATACTTGCCGAATATTTTGTGACTTGAAGGATGAAAGCATCCTATTTCGTTTCAAGAGTTCCTCCCCAGTGCTATACCTGACTTGTACAAGTACAGGTTTGTGTATAAGCATTCAAAATAACTTATATCGAAAGCTCTCTAGAAATACACGTTAACCTGTAATATTATAAACAAAATGTTACCACCCCTTTTCAATTGGAAAACAATCAAAATATTGAAGCTTAGCCTCCTTAATATGATTTAAACTTCAATTTACCTGATGTAGATACGTAGATAGTTCTACTTTAAAGAATATATCTTTGGTAATCAGTCCTCTCTCTAAAATTAAATCAAAGTCACTACAAAGAAACCCTGGGTCTACATTCTGTGTGGTGCAAACATTTTTTGTTTACGTATTTGTCAATGGATAGCAAAAATCCAATGGTTAATTTGAATGTTGTAATATTTAGATATTGCTTCAAAAATTTCAAAAGATAAATTTCAATGAAAATATCTGTAACATTATTAAAACATTAGTACTATGATATGACATCTTGAAATACGTTTGTAAATAATGAAGAGACAATATGATGTTTATGCGATTCGTGTGGTGTTAAGTTTCTAATAATTTGTGAACTGACATATACGAGTCACACTCTCAAAGATATAAGTTACCTGTTGAACCCCACCCGGCCATAACACAAAACGTGGCATTTGTTTTCCCAAGACATAAAGGTTGGATATGGGTCGTGTAATTAAGGGGCTCTTTTAGCTTAATCAGGGCTACATCACTGTCTAGATTGCTGGCTAAGTCAAATTCCTCATGTGTTATAATGAGCTCAACCTCTCGAGACATTTCACCAGGTTCTATTTCTGTCCTATGGTGCTTTCCAAAGAATAATATAAAATCGTCTGGGTTTCTTCTAAAAATGTAATAGAAACATGTAAAGTACATGGTTTAAGGCAAACATTGCAAGAAAAAGTAGCAGCACATCAGGCAACAAGAACAGCACGTCCCAAAGAAATATAAGACTCAATTGCTCAATAATATATTTTGCACAAATTGATTTTCAGATTATATCAAATACCTAGCCTTGCCCCAAGTCGGTATTTTTTACTTTATCTGATCTTGAATTATTACCGCCTTGTGTAATCCGATACATCTCCACTGTTATTATGATAAATTATGCACCAACTATTACGCGTGCCCTATAGCATTAGCCAATAGCGGTAGTCATACACAAAAATCAATAAATAAATCCACGTGTTCGCCATGCGGTTGTGAAGTTATATGCGGCATGCTTGCAGTCTGCAAATCCAGGCATCTCCCTTACAAATAAAACGCATTCACCAGAACCATAATAACTTTTCATTATCCTTTTCACAGCATAACTATAAGTGTTTATATGTGAACTGATCAGTCATCAACTTTCTGATATTAAATCGGTTCACTACATTCAAATTACTTTCAATTATATTTAGCAAATAAAACGTTTATCGATTTTGCGAGGGTCATTTTCAGTTTTGCTAGCTGATGAAAGTAAAGCGAGGTAGGACTTCCCACAATGCCACTATCAAAGGTTCCAATACTAAATTGCTGATTGGAGCAAAATCAACAACTGTATTACCTCGTGTGTTTGTAACCTAAATTTAGACATTGAAAGATCGCGTGCTATTGGTCAAAATCACCGACATAAACAAACTGTCGGTAAAGCACGTGGCTTTCTCTTTGGTACAAGGGCAGGCGGTCATAATAGAAATCAAGATAAGTAAAAGAGACCGACTTGGGGCAAGGCTATCAAATACCCTACAATTTACATACCCAATCTTTTTGTTGGTAAAGCAATGCGATGCAGTTATTACCCAGTTCCTGTTAATTACAGCACCACCACAGACATGACGGAGATCATCGTCATCATTAAGCCGAGCCTTTATAGTAACCATCCATGGCCAGCTGAATGCTGGGTCAACAACAGTACCCCCTGTGATTCTGCTTTGTCCAATGTCAGGACGCACACCACATGTAGCATTTGCAGGCGGCTTTCCTTCAAGAGGTCAAATTAGCAAATACTAGGTCAGTATACTACATGAAATGATTGCAAGAGGTCCCTTAAGAGGTTAAATGAGCAAAAACGAGCGTTATGATTTATGAGATCAAATGAGCGAAGACGAGGTCAGTAGACTAGATGTAGCATTTGGAGGCGGCTTTCTTTCAATCGATCAACTGAGCAATAACAGGTCATCACTGTATGACAAAATTATCGTACCTGTACATCTATTCCAGCAGTCCAGACGGTTAGTTGAAACGCATTTACACTCGACACAGCCATCTAACAGGAAGTCTTCGCCGAATTTATATGTAATTCCGCCAACCAAACACTTCATACATTTTCCAAGGTTGGAACATTTAACTAATCCTAAATATTAACAAAAACATAATAATGACGACTATTAAAAATGACACGACAAAAAAAAGAAAAATATTGCCCAGCAAACAGTATTTTGTATAACCTGAATGTTATGGATGGTCATATATACATCAAATCCAAATTGACCAATAATTTGGTTGATGGTGATGATTGACGAAGAATGAGGTGATTGTGAACTATATGATTGTTGGTTTTCGGGATGGTTGTATGACCAAGATTGTAAAACATTGAATCAAATTAGACACCCGTCAAAATGGCCGGTGTACCAAACATGAGTAATACTCTCTCTTTAAATTCTGCATACGGAATATACCTCGTCTCTTTTATACCTCGATTGTAAATCCTCCTGAGATTCGGGTAAATATAAACTAGAAATTGAAATATGACACAAGAAGTATTCGTTCACCTTCTTTACATCTACAAGTGTTGCATTTATCAGGGTGTCTCCATTGTTCCCCTGAAAGATATCGTCTGTCATTCGCCTTACAGTAATCTAAAATGAATAAAGATTACCATCAAAGAGACTCGATAAAATTAGCTACGTTGAACAAAGTGTTAACATTTTCCGATTAAAAGGGCTTATTCATTTTGTAGGGGTGTATGTATCAAACATTTCGTGCAATAGAAACTAATATCATTCGGCTTACAGTTATCTAAAAGGAGTAAAGTTAAAATTAAGCTATGTTGCCATTACGACAATTAAACTCATTATGACAACAGTATACTATTGAAAGGCAAAGACAAAACTTTGGCTATGCCAATATGTCGTCGCATCTCATGACTTAAAAGCCTTATTCGACAATTGAGTAAAAATTTGCAATTGAAAAATATGTTTTTATGTTTTTACTTTAAAATTATCTCTAAATATTACAGTTCCTAGGGAATTATCGTTCACTTACCACAAATTGGAGTGCAAGCTGTCTTGTTCTTGATTTGGCACTCGCAACTTCTGCATTCGGTCTCTTTGAATACATCCCCAACGTTGTATTTACGATTCTTGTATACACACATTCTACACCATTTATTATCGCTACACACTGCGCTCAAACCGCTTACTAAAACAGCCAATATGAAGTGGATGTGCAACTGCGGGTTATTGAATAGATGAAGGAATTGAATATGTACATACAACAGTAAGTACCAACAAAAAGTTCTAAAAACCAAGCCGTATGTCCTGTTTAAGAACCCCCAATCTTACTATTGAAAATGGATTCTAGCAATACTATCCAACATGAATATACTTGTTTGGAATCAATCTACTTGGGAAAATGAGGATTTTAACAAGGGCGCATTGAATTAACATGGGGACATACACAGGACATTAAATAGGACATTAAAGCTTAACTCAGGCTTTTTTGAACTGTTCGGCTAGTAGTAATTACTACATGATATGACATCATATTAACTAATACACTGGTACATGCACTCCAATCCTGTTTACAACTACTTTAAATACAATGATCATTGATCAACGGCATGAAATAAAACCCGTCAGAGACTACTTGAAAAAAATAATATCTTATTGCAGATAAATATCAACAAGTTAGAAATCCCATAATTTAAACTCAATATTATCCATCCGGATATTCAACTGATAAACTATATTAGCTGCATGAACGATTTTCTCACGAAGACTACACAGATCCATAATATAGATGTTATTGTATTATTCATTGCTTTTGGAGACATCACTATTTCAACTCATAAATCGCTATTGCCATCTATAAATTCTGCTTGTATATTTTAAAGTTAAAAACTTCGATATATGTAGTCAGTGAGTATTACGAGGAAGACATGTTGATACATCATGTCTAATAAATAACTAATTGTACATTTTTACAGGGACACCCCTTGACTCTGAAACTTTGCAATCTTCTAAAACTTTTCATAAGCAACAAAATGATATATGATAGAGTGGTAACGCTAAATGTATAAGTTAAGATAAAATGCATACATATGGAACACCTTGTATATCTTATTATAATCAAAAAGGTGATTTTTACCTGTTTCCTTGCATTTGCACTTGTTACACTTGTCAATAGAGAGCCATTGCTTGCCTTTCTTGTATTGTTTGTCACCATAAGTACACGTTGTTGGCTCTTGTACATATTAAAACATAAGAATATGATATGAATAAACGCAACGAGCTCACGTATCTCGTCTCACGACCTCATGGTTACGACAACAGCGCCTGGCTTAGCGTGTTCAGTGCTCTAGACCGCTCATATTATAGACCATTCAAAAGTTTGCATGAAACCCCTCCACGGGGGGAGGGTGAGGAATTTGATATAAATATTGCTCAGGGGTAGGAATTTGACGAAGATTGTCGTCCGGGGGTGAGGAATTTGATTTACATGTACCCGAGAAAAGTTTACGTTCGAACAAATTCTAATTTGATCAATTCGATATAGATGAATAAAACGGAGGGAGGTAACCTATTAAAATAAAAAAGCCAATATCTTAAAACACGTCATTGCATAAATTACAAGAGAGCTTTCGAAAATTACTACGATGTGGATTTCTGTTCCCGATCTGTACCCATCAAACGCAACAATCCGCCTGCCCATTCCACAAAAAATGATCGTTCATACAGGTATGTTCTCCACTTTTGTTGAACAGAAACAAACCAATAGTAAAACCATGTACTTTCCGGCTAATTTGTCAAAACTTTCAGGCAATTTGCGAAAACGTCATAAAATGGACAACTATTCTCATTGGCTTTTAATTTCGCGGGTAATTGCGTCATTTAAAACGCTACGTCTCCATTGGTTATATGTAAAATTGTAAGGGAATTTTTCAATCAAAAATTAATTGTAGCCTGTGTTGTGGACTTTCCGCGAAGAATCTTTTTGATCTATATGGCGTGTCTAATTAAAATATTGACATATAAACGAAGTACTGCGCGTATATCCCTCAACATTCGCGAGCATTAGTCTACTAACGAGGATAACTGATGTTTAAAAATACATTTCTAATGGTGGAAGGACCCGGGGGTCGCGAATATTTGACCAGATTTATTGCTCCAAGGGTAGGGAAGTTGACACATTTATTTGGACTCGGGGTAAGGAATTATACGGGCCAAAATGTCGAATTTTGTCGAATTCCCCATCCATGCTCGAGTGGGGGATCTCACGCAAATTTATGAATGGTGCAAACGGGTCAAAAAATAACATGACAAATCAAAGTGAAGTAAATTACTTTGCTGAATGTTATAATTCCACTTACCACATGGTATATTCTCACATTTAGCTTTTTTCGACCCAGCAATACAAATGCATTTTTTGCACTTGTCCTTTGATAAAAAATATTCCCCCGTTTTATGACGTTTACGTTCGTATTTGCAACTGGAGCACCTTTTCTTGTCTGAACATTGTACTCTTCCTAAAAGTGAATATAGATTATGATGATGCATTTTACTTCGTCAAAGTAATTGACTTTTGAAAAGTGACTTATAACAACTGTGATATTGCACATTATACTGTTGAAGGATTGGAGTTGTGAACCGTGATGTATATTAAGTGTGATGATGCAATCTACACTCTTCAAAAAGTATAGGAGTTTTTGGACGTGACAGAGGAAATTCGCTGTCCATTACGCTATCAATGTATGTCATTCAAATATGAGAGTTGTTTTTTGCATGATGCAAAGAGATATGTCAATGATGACTTAATTACATTCAATTCAAAATACCGACCAATCTTGAATAATTAGAGAAGGGGTTGGTGGTGAACTAGAATGCATTCGGGATGAATACAAAAATTGTGTCAATCTAGAACATTTTACAAGCTTGATGATCAGAAATCATTACACGGGATCACTTTACCACTACTAGAACAATTTAGTAAACTGGAAAATCGAGACTTTCACCATGCTAACATCGAGCATAATATTTATGATCGTTAGCAGTAAGGAATTATGCAAAATAAATTAAGATATACCTTCAGAGCATTCACACTTGTTGCAAGCATCGATATGTTTGAATGTCTTTCCATCTTTTCGTATCTTGCCATTATATTCGCACGCACCGGCTGCGGAAATACGAAATCACTTAATGTATATGCACGGGTGTTAAGCCACGATAATACCATGAGCACATGCTTTGAGGATCCGCGTTGTTTAAACCTACCGCCGAGCTCACTTATACATTAAGCCCCGTTACACAGTCATGATACCGCCGAGCAAGCTCATAGCATCATCGGGTCTGCTTAACCCCCGTGTATATGCATACTAATGTTAGGCATACACTTACGTATATTAATAAAACATGTAAATTTTATGTTAATGGAATACAAACATGCCAACTTATACATCCCTTTTATTGGATATCCGGAGGATCAAAGAAATCATAAATTCATGAATAATGCTGAATAATATCAAACTTAATTTCTAAATTATATTGAAATCAAAATTACTAGTTTGCTTCTGTTTACCTTGTATGGTTGTTGTAACTAATTTATCCGTCGTCAATTGAGCAATTGTGTGGTCTTGTTCACTTGTCAAATCTTGTTTTGTTATTCCAACTGGTTCCCTGACTGTACTTGTTTCAATTTGTCTATCTGGTCCATTTGTTGTAACTGATTCGGTTATATCAACAGGTCCCGTTGATCCACCTAGTTTCTTGCCTGTAACCGAATCAGTTGATCTGTGTGCTTTGATTGTTGTGGTTTGTATAGTTATTCGACCTGGTTTCGTTCTTGTACCTGAACCAGTTAAGTTATTTGGTTCAAGTGTCGTAATTGATTCAGTAATTCCATCTGGTTTCGTTCTTGTACCTGAATCGGTTAAATTCTTTGGTTCAATTGTTGTAACTGGTTCTGTTATTCCACCTGGTTCCGTTCTTGTACCTGAATCAGTTAAAGTCATTGGGTCAGTTGTTGTAACTGGTTCTGTTATTCTATCTGGCTTCGTTCTTGTACCCGAATCAGTTAAATTCTTTGGTTCAATTGTTGTTACTTGTTCAGTTATTCCACCTGGTTCCGTTCTTGTATCTGAATCAGTTAAATTTTTGGGTTCAATTGTTGTAACTGGTTCTGTTATTCCACCTGGTTCCGTTCTTGTACCTGATTCAGTTAAATTCTTTGGTTCAATTGTTGTTACTTGTTCAGTTATTCCACTTGGTTTCGTTCTTGTACCCGAATCAGTTAAATTCTTTGGTTCAATTGTTGTTACTTGTTCAGTTATTCCACCTGGTTCTGTTCTTGTATCGGAATCAGTTAAATTCATTGGTTCAGCTGTTGTTACTTGTATTGTTATTCCACCTGGTTCCGTTCTTGTACCTGAATCAGTTAAATTATTCGATTCAATTGTTGTAACTTGTTCTGTTATTCCACCTGGTTCCGTTCCTGTAACTGGTTCTGTTAAGTTCTTTGTTTCCATTGTTGTAACTTGTTCTGTTATTCCACCTGGTTCCGTTCCTGTAACTGGTTCTGTTAAGTTCTTTGTTTCCATTGTTGCAACTTGTTCTGTTATTTCACCTGGTTCTGTACTTGTAACTGGTTCTGTTAAGTTCTTTGTTTCCATTGTTGTAACTCGTTCTGTTATTCCACCTGGTTCCGTTCCTGTAACTGGTTCTGTCAAGTTCTTTGTTTCCATTGTTGTAACTTGTTCTGTTATTTCACCTGGTTCTGTACTTGTAACTGGTTCTGTTAAGTTCTTTGTTTCCATTGTTGTAACTTGTTCTGATATTCCACCTTGTTCCGTTCCTGTAACTGGTTCTGTTAAGTTCTTTGTTCCCATTGTTGTAACTTGTTCTGTTATTCCACCTGGTTGCGTTCCTGTAACTGGTTCTGTTAAGTTCTTTGTTTCCATTGTTGTAACTTGTTCAGTTATTCCACCTGGTTCCGTTCCTGTAACTGGTTCTGTTAAGTTCTTTGTTTCCATTGTTGTAACTTGTTCTGTTATTTCACCTGGTTCTGTACTTGTAACTGGTTCTGTTAAGTTCTTTGTTTCCATTGTTGTAACTTGTTCTGATATTCCACCTTGTTCCGTTCCTGTAACTGGTTCTGTTAAGTTCTTTGTTTCCATTGTTGTAACTTGTTCTGTTATTCCACCTGGTTGCGTTCCTGTAACTGGTTCTGTTAAGTTCTTTGTTTCCATTGTTGTAACTTGTTCTGTTATTTCACTTGGTTCTGTACTTGTGACTGGTTCTGTTAAGTTCTTTGTTTCCATTGTTGTAACTTGTCCTGTTATTCCACCTGGCTCCGTTCTTGTAACATGTTCTGTTAAGTTCTTTGTTTCCATTGTTATAACTTGTTCTGTTATTCCACCTGGCTCCGTTCCTGTAACTGGTTCTGTTAAGTTATTTGTTTCCATTGTTGTAACTTGTTCTGTTATTCCACCTGGTTTCGTTCTTGTACCTGAATCTGTTAAGTTCTTTGTTTCCATTGTTGTAACATGTCCAGTCATTTCTTCTTGCTCTATTATACCAGCTTGAGTAGTGTTATTAATCGTTGAACCTGTAACAGTTAAGCTACTGATTAGATCGGTAATGTTTGTTGTAATACGTGTTACACTTGTATATTTTACAAATATGAGATAAATCGTCATACAAAAAATGAAAAAAACACATTTGTTTCAACCTACCGCAACATGTAGGCTCGCTGCAGCACAATGGCGGACATTTGTCACATGAACCATCAGGGAAACAGAGGGCGAAATATGTTTCCCATATACACACAGGGTTTAACAAACCACAACAGTCCATTGGGCAATTTGTGGTTGTTTCATCTAGATTACAAACACCATCTCCACAAAAGTCATCCCGTATATCGGCAGTTTGGCTGATTTATAAACAGAATTTGTAGACATGTTTCATAAAGGATGACAAATGTTTAAACAAGTATATCTTTAAATACTCACCGTTTTACTATGGACTCTATTTTTCCAGTTGAACGTTTCCCAGGGCGTCTACCATGCACCTTCTTACAGAGTTTGTTGAAACACATCTGCCACGCCCAGCAAAACCCAGGGACTCTATATAACCAAACTGAGTCACATCTTCAACCAAGAAAACACATTCTTGTTAAACATGATCCAGACACAAGCACACACATATTACCCACTTCAAGCTTTAAAAAATTAATATTCTGTAATTTTTCAAGATTTCATGAAATGTGGATGTTTGGAAATATGATCATATTCCGAGATATATAGCTCCCCCCAGGTCCGCCAGTGCATATATCTGCATTGGTTGAACCTTGGTCGTATGTGAAAACCATCTAGAACAATAAATATGGATTTTTCTTGCGCTTTTATGAAACATATATGTTTACTACATCAGTTGATTGAATAGTAAAAGACAGCAATAGCCGGATAATGAAACAATTCTAATTTAATACACAAATGCATATTATATAGTATATTGGAATCGTCATAGATGAACTAAATTATATTAGATAATATATTTTTTCGTATCAATAGTACCATTGGAAAGCTTGTGTTCAAGTGAGTGGATTATCGATATTGTTCTGTCTTTCGGTTTATTTAAATATTGCTGAACTTTGATGTTATTAAACTGAATGTAATCGCATGTGCCATTGAAAGGGTACGACCTAATACAGGTGAAAAAGAGTATTTGATGAGTATAAAGATTCATAAATAAGTAAAGCACACGCATCCCAAACAATGATCTGAAGTACAAAGAAACAGTGTATACTTTTAAGTAAATACTGAGAGGTAAACCACGTACTTTGTTTTTATCTTTGTCTGGCCATCACAGCCACCGCATTGGAATGTATCCCCTTCACCTTTATTACAAGTGCCATCTCCATCAGCAGAATCAACTCCACATTTTCCACAGTAATCGCCATTGCTAGCACTGTCATACTCCACCTAATTAGACAAGCGACTCATTGTTTTTTTACATATAACCCATAGCAGTTCTTTGAGAAAATGTATCGTTAAGGTGAACCTTCACAGGACATTCGTTTATAGGACATTTGTTTATAATCAAAGCTATTTAAAAATAACAGACCAAGGGTAATACTCAAATTGAATGGTATAAACTGTCATGAAAGATCTCTAATTCTCTATGTGAATTTATTTTTGATGTTTATTCACGTTTTTTTATGATTTATGGAATAATTACAGTAGTTATTTACCCCGTCACATTCATTATCAGGTTCATCACAGTTATTGCAGCATGTATAGAAATGAACTCCAGTTTGTCCTCCCCATCTACAATTCATGCACTCCCCCGCAGGAGGCTGCTCCCCTGCTTTCCTTTTCTCCAAATGACGCCAAATGCGAACGTTACTCCCAAAAATCGCATCGCAGCTCAACAGGACAACCATTAATTGAAAAAGTAATTCCTTAAACTTTATCGGCATTTTTGATGCAAACACTGCAAATTACAAGCTAGATTTGTTTATTTAACTCATTTATTGGCAAAATTAACACTTAATATGGATATTCCAAAACAACTATCCATTGTAGTACTATAAGCTGATCAAATACTAGAGCTCTGAATCGATGAGTTTATGTTTATTTTGAATAGTTGAACAATTAATGCAAGTCATATCTACCTCGTTATGTTTTTAATATTTTTAATAGTTGATATGTATTTAACATGTATCCATCAAATCAGAATATCGATGTATTTGTTGCAGCTTTAAACAAATGTTCCAGGCTCGTAGACTAACCGTCCAAATATTTTGCAATCGGGAGTAACTTTTATGTTTTGGTATTTAAAATCGCCTTTGTAATATATTTCCTAACTTTTACAATTTAGGCCCAGCTATTCACAGGTTTTGACATACTTTCTAATGTCACTTCCGGTGACCAAACTTATGGAGGGAGTGTACTTTAAAGTATTAGTTAAAGTGCGATGCTGTCAATTATTTCGAAAATGATTATGCAAATAAGAGCATCCTCCTATTCACTCTAAACATCAACAGAATATCATCACACTCAATATTGTACAATGTCGATAATACACTCTCCGTTCAAGGTTTCACAAACAGAAGTCGTCTTCCAGAAAGTCAATTTAAAAAAGACGAAATATGCTTAACAAGGTTAAAACACTGTGATTCACAAGTACATCAAGGTATGATCTATCGATGCTTACCTTATTTTAGTACCTTCATTGTTCTTCATAGCAATCATAAATCACAGTTTTGAAAGTGATTTGAAATTGTGTCCAAATCATCAGCCGCTATTGCGATCATAAGTTGCTATAGTTAGAATGTTCTTTTTTAAATTTTGATTAATAGCACTATATATACGAGAGGGCCTTTTTAATCCATTTATATTTCAAATTTGATTATAAATGTCTCACTATATCTGATGAAAAATCAAAAATTGAGGATGAAAATAAATTATATCGGTGTCTGCCATTTTAAATAACCTCCTTAGTCACATAACATTTTTGCACCATTTTGACCAATGCACATGCGCAAGTAAAGAACATTGAGCATGCGCAATAAATTAAAGCTGACACGAGACAATCCAAAACTTACTTTCAATTTACTTTTTAAAATCTGTTTCTTACCCTGCCGCGCCGGCTGGAGGTTGGAGAAAACCACTACCCGCAATTGTCTATGCAGATGGTCCCTCGGCTGGCTTTAGATAGGTGTGTTCAGTTAGTCTATGCTATGCTATTCGATGAAAACTTTCAGTCACCAAACTTATGGAGGAAGGTGTATTTCCAAGAACTCTTATATCCACGTATCGGAATAAATCATCCGATTAAGGTTTGTTGACAGGGAATAAGCGCCTTGATTAAAAATTTGGAAACGGTAGGATAAAAGGGATGTCGTGTCTCATAACATATTTGCACTTCTTCAATTTTATATGTCTAACGTGTAATTGAATATCACCTAATGTTATCAGTTTAAAGATCCAATTTATTTGCAACAGTAGAATGACAAACAATTTAACGAGGCATGAATCATTCAAAATAGATTGACATTCTCAAAATAGGAATCAATCTTAAATGAAGCACGCGAGCCAATAAATACACCATGATTTAAAAGCTATTCGTGCTCAAATCTTAGAAGTTTTTATTATTTTGGGATATCATATACGACGCCATAAATCCGTCGTAAATCTCAATTATGTTACTCACTTACTTTTTGAAAAATATGACTTTGATTATTTTTTTAAATACTTAAACATTATTAAGTACATTCTCTGACAAGTGACCAAAACGGGAACATTCGAATGCTAAACTTATTGAGCGGGGGGGGGGAAGTTGGAATAACATTTCTACCATCATTCCATTCTGATACTCATAGCATCTTTCTGTTTCACCTGAAACATCTCAGGGCTGAGAAGAAATGAGATGTCATGGTATATCATGATGCCATCATTCAGCTAGAATCATATTTATTACAATTAGGCACACTATGAACTAAATCTGACTCTCTCTTCATTATAAATAGATCCATTAAAAGCATCATTGTTACGCCTGAATGCGCAAGGGGATTGAACAATACATGAGATACTTTGATCCCAATACACCAGATGCGAGTAGAAATAATCTTGATTTACTGCATTAAAAATTCAAAATTCAGTCAAACTGATGTCACATTTGGAATCTACATGTAAAATTACATCTAGAAATGTGATTTTGAAAAGAGTTTATCAACTTTCAAAATTCAATTTTCTTTGAAAATGTTACTTCTAGGTCGGGGAGATTCCCCATAGACCCAATGCTGTAAAATCACAAAAAGTGAAATATCTTTTCTTGTGCTAGGCAGGTAATATTTTCTTTTACTGGGCAAATTTTAATTTGTATAACTATCAGATACATAAGGGTAATATGAAAAATGAACCACTAAAACTGATGATTATTCAAGTTAAAGGGAATTTTGTAATACCCTGCCATGTTATTTCCCCCGAATCAGCTACCTGGTGGGGAAAGTGAAAACTACACCTACTCGCATCTGAGTAATTCATAATGATCAAACTCAATTGCTTTGTGCGCTAGGGTGTGAGCTGTCATCTTGAATAATTGCTGTTAAATCAATTCCTTTTGAATGTGACATAATTACAGTTATTTGCCATGTTCGTTAGAATTCAGTAAGGGTACATTAGCTTCGAAGATGGTTAAAGTGACCGTATTTGCAATGAAGTTTAATTTTCTGTCGATTCAGAATTGATAATCCTCGCGATCGTTCAAGCAATGCTATAAAAATACATACCTACCAAAGTTGCCGATATGTTGGCGATTTTCTCTCTACCAAACTCATCGGTACCTACCGGCCGTGTCCCGTACGGTCATTGCACGATTATCTTACGACTCCCGGTGGCATCGTCAGGGCATCCAGGGATTTTATTTAACTTTACACACTGATTTGTTCGATAATTCTCAATTATGATTAGTAATATTATATAAACATTTTAAATATGATAAGTTTAGGAAATATAATTGCCAAGAATTTTTTTCTAAAATATGAAAGAACGAATAGTATAACGAAATATAATTGTAAAACAATAACACATTTGGGTAGTGGTGTGGGTGGATGGATCTTTCGTCCTTGTTAGCTGCAAGTCAGTCATGGCATTAAATCCTGATGAACAGGATGATACCTTTTATCCGTATATTCGATTCAATCATGCATATGCCATTAAAAATCATATGAAAATGTTTCTGTGGGTATAGTTTTTTCAAGGGCCACACTTTGCGAGAGTCTAGCTACAATTTATCTTATTTGAGTATCTTACAATAAATCAGATGATATAATTATTTTCAATAAATTAATATGAAGTTCAAAATCATAATGTTATAGAATGTGTATAACTGTACGTATGTACAGCTCATACAAAGAAGTGTCTTTAGTCAATGCAGCATGATTGATTTTGGAAACTGAAATGAAAGAAACTTGTTTATGAATATTATGAATAGCTGTAGAGGCTCCTTGGTGTCCTGTAGATCGACCGATGTCCTGGCGGGTGCCGTTCGGTCATCGGCAGATAGACTTTCGATACCCGTACGATATCCTATAGATAGATTTAGTTGTTTGCGGGCGCCGTAGTGTGCCTGTACTAATGTGACCATACTCACGGCGGAATCAAGACATCGGGGAAAAGTCACTGGCGCCCGGTCAATTTAGAAATCGGCCGATGACAACTCATAGGCCGGCGCCCGGCGCCTATGTGACCCAGGCATAAGGTCCATGACTGGGATGGATACGCTGTACTCATCCTACCCTTGCATTCGTTTGACTTTACTTCTTAAAAGAGAGCTTCGTCTTCAGTTTAACTAGACTCTGCACGTACCCTTTGCATTCGTTTGACTTCACTTCTTAATAGAGAGCTTCGTCTTCAGTTTAACTAGACTCTGCACGTACCCTTTGCATTCGTTTGACTTCACTTCTTAAAAGAGAGCTTCGTCTTCAGTTTAACTAGACTCTGCACGTACCCTTTGCATTCGTTTGACTTCACTTCTTAAAAGAAAGCTTCGTCTTCAGTTTAACTAGACTCTGCACGTACCCTTTGCATTCGTTTGACTTCACTTCTTAAAAGAGAGCTTCGTCTTCAGGGTATACTCATCCGGTCCCGCTCCTGAAAAGCGAATAATTCAAACCTATGTTGTATATTTCAATTGTTGATATCAATTTATTGATCTGCTCCAGCAATTCACGAGTACAAAAATTGAACAAACGTCTAAGAACATGGAAAACTTATTTTTAAGACTGAAAAATACGTACCGATATTTATTCTATTTTATCTAGTTTTAAAATATCATAAGGTTGAAATGGAAACAATGCGTCTTCCCTGCCACATAATGATATAATCAAATTATTTCCCTTGTATAAACACATAAATCTGGATGGTTTATGAGATGGTTAAAAGTAACAAAAGCATTTACGTGTTGTGCCAAATAAGTTACCGTTACAATGTTGTCTAACAATCTCAGATTAAGATATCAATGTTGGGATAACATAATCGAAAGCTACAAAACATTGAATTACTTTCTACTTATATTAATTAAAATAGTTACGATGATAAAGGGCAGATCAAGGAACCAACAAGGAGGGGGGCCAAATTTCAGGTCAGAGAAAAAACTTCCCTAAAACCGAAAAGTGGGCCCAACTTTTTTTTCTGGGCCAAACTTAGGGGGAAGGGGGTCGGGCCCCATGCCCCCCCCCCCCCGGATCCGCCACCGATGAAACTGTTTTGCTATTAATATAATCTTAAAATGATTTTCTAATCAATTAGTTTTTTATCACGGCTGTCAATGCAAATCAGTACCATCAAAGCAACAGGCAAGCTATCGTGTGTGTATGAATTAACAATTGTTTGAGTCATTTTTCGATTTCGATCCCTTCACTTCCTTAGCAAACGTCAATCATCAAATGTTGCACTATGCATCTTAAAAGACTAAACTCTGTCAACCCCACTGCTAAAATGTTTCTGACTTATTTCATTCAATTTATTGCGAATTTCATGAAAAAACATTAATGAGCAAATGATTTTGTTATATAATGCTACACATGGACTTAAACTGAATGAAACAGGTTGGCACTGCAGTGTACATAAGAAAATGTAATAACACTAGAATGTCATTTTGTTAATCGTAAATGTGAAGCAATTATTGACTTTTATTTGACACAATGTAACAACAATATTTTATTATCAGTTTACTTTTTTAACAATTAGTTTGGCAGATTTCTTGGAAATGGCCATTATTTTCCGTAAATATTATGATTATGAATATTATGATTATAATCTCGTCGATGCAAAAACTTATAAGCAATTACAATTTTCGTCATGACAACAAGCGAGTGAAAATAAATATTGTAGCAGTTGAGCATGGGCTTGAGGATATTCGCCAGAAAAAGTTCAAAATGAATGGTAACCATAATTATAGAAAAATAATACATATCGTAAAAATCTTTATTTTTCGGTAAAAAAAGTATACATTGGGGAATTTCGGAAAAATACACAACAAGAAATCAAACAAGCCCAAATATTCTTACAGAAATATAATTAAAATTGTTTGCAAGTGGGCTGGGGGTAATTTTAAGACGACATTCCCAAAAACTGTCCATATCCATTTTATTCGAAAACACGGTATAGTAACACAGAAGGCTATTCTCATTGCAGCCGTAGACATGTGCATATGGTAGACTAATTAACGCAGAGGGCTAGCTATTCTCCTTGCAGCCGTAAAAATATGCAAACGGTAAAGTAATTACCGCAGAGGGCTATTCTCCTTGCAGCAATATAAATATGCATATGCTATAGTAATTAACGCAGAGGGCTATTTTCATTGCAGCCGTAGAAATATGCATACGGTAGAGTAATTAACGCAGCGGGCTATTCTCTTTGCAGCCATAGAAATATGCATTCGGTATTGTAACGAACGCAGAGGGCTTTTTTCCTTGCAGCCATAGAAATATGCAAACGGTATAGTAATAAACACAAAGGGCTATTCTCCTTGCAGTCGTAAAAATATGCAAACGGTATAGTAATTAACGCAGAGGGCTATTCTTCTTGCAGCCATAGAAATATGCATACGATATAGTAATGAACGCAGAGGGCTATTTTCCTTGCAGCCATAGAAATATGTATACGGTATAGTAATGAACGCAGAGGGCTATTCTCCTTGAAGCCGTAGAAATATGCATGCACTAAACACATTGCCTGAAGATCAAAAACTTCGAGTTAGACTCCTGGCTGCCAATTCTTTTTGGGTTACGGCCAGATAAAATCCTTATAAATGAAGAGGGTTAAGGTTGAGAATGGCATAACGCGAGGTTTAGAATGTTAAGTGTTAAAAATATCGTTGACTATCACACTGCTAGTCTAAATACAATCAGGAGGAATCGCAATCTCATTACTCATTTCACAGCGGATGATAAGTAAATTGACGTAGCATAATTTCCTGCTTTCTCAATTAGGTTGATAGAAAAAAGAACGTATAATAAGACACCGGAGACGAGAATAACGGAATACATGGATCATTCTTCATAGTACAATAGTTATTTTCTCATAAATCTTAATCGAGGATAATTAAACAAGGTTTGACCAGCCAAGTACGAAGTAAGAGCATCAACGAAACTGTGACTAGTATATATATAAAAACAGCTGCTATTATTAGAAAACGCAGCGTAGCAGTTATTCACAAAGGAAGAACAATTAAAGATGAAATATAGAGCTAGTACCACGAACATAACAAGTGAGATGACAACGGTATTTACGAACATAACGACCAGGTATACGGGCAATTTGTATACAACTTTTCCAGAATATTTGGCGGGAGATTTTTTATTCAAATATGTATCACCGTTTGTGCTCTTCGTGGGAGTCCTACTCAACTGCCTGTGCTTTCTTGTACTGACATGCACAAACATGCGCAAGACGAGCTCGAGCGTTTATCTGTCTGCATTGGCCGTTTGTGACACGTTTAATCTCCTCGTAACACTTACAAACCATTGGTTGATAAGGCAGTTCCAGTTTTATTACAGGGACACTGATGAAATTATTTGTCGCCTAAGTCGATTCTTGGCCTATTTTCTTGCGCATATATGCGCGTGGTTACTCGCTGCTGTTACTTTTGAGAGAATGTTCACCGTACTACTCCCAATTCACGCCAGGGAATGGTGCACTGTTAGACGTGCGGGGATAAACATAACGATAATCACAATCGTTTTATTGGGGATAAATCTAAATCTGTTATGGATACAGGGATCGGGAGAGGTCACGTGGGAAGGAAAATTGTACACCGTTGTGTGTTACGTGTATAATCATGATAAGTACAGACATTGGCGGATACATATATGGGTTTGGATCGATCTCGTTTTGGCTTCGATTCTCCCATTTGTACTAATCGTCATTGGAAACGTGATTATTATCACCAGACTCGTGATGTCTAGAAGAGAAAGAGTAGCAACAATGAACGTCAGAACTGGTATCCAGGCGGGTCACTATGACAGGTCAAGGTCACTAACCGTCATGCTCATTGTTGTTAGTCTCGCTTTCATTTTTCTCACACTTCCGGTCACAATATACTATATCTTGGACGAAAAATATAATTCAAGCGATAAACACGTTTCGAATCAGATCCTAGCGAATATGAATCTATTGAGAGCCGTTGCCACTGAATTATATTTCATTAATTGTGGAATCAATTTTATTCTATACTGTGCGACTGGTAGACGTTTTCGCACCAAAATGAAGACTCTATTTTGTGGAAGGTGTTACAAAACGCCAATAACTGCACGATATCAAACTGCAACTACATGTACATCATCAACAACGAACGTATGACAATTATGTGAAGCTTGCAGATCAATATGACATTTGTGTTTATTCCTTCCGATTGTCAGCCTTGATCAAGATTAAGTTCTACTCTTCATCTTAGGTTGCTACTGTTGTGCAATCTAAAGCTGACACACATATAAGTTCACAACTTTGTCAAATTGACAAATTAAATGAATAAAACATAAACTAAAAATGCTTGCTGAAACAAAATAATACATTTACAAATGTACGTCGACAAAATCTAAGTGAGGGTCTAAATGTTGAGACTGGTGCTTCATTCAAAACCTAGCCTCATTCAAAAATCTAGCCGCCAGAAGACTTTAAATTGTAAATGTTGGACAGCTTTGAGCTAATTTACAGTCTGTAACATTGCCTTCCTAGACTATTCAGTGGATCGAAATTGTAAATAGAAAAATCGAAATCCAAGAATACATACAGGGTGTTAAAAAACGCAACCCAAAGAAATCGCTATATCTTAGAACTTATCCAATTGTGTTCATTTTTCAGGAAAGAAAGAAGAGATTGTGTATGTATAGCTCCTGCTGTTAGTTAGTTGTAAAACATAATGCCTTGGACACCTGCTCAAAAGACATTAGTATTAGAAAGATATGAAAAACGCAGTCAGAGGTGACTTCCAGACCAATAAACCCTAATAACTTTCTAACCATGGTGTTTTTGGCACTTCAGTTTCGACACAAATTATTTTTATATAATGTGTAGTGAATTAGGGGAGTTTCATTAAAATCACTCCAGGGACTTTTCAGTCATGGTCAAAATGCCTTCTTAAGTCTGGCTGAACCAGGATGTCTGACTGAGTTTTGATCGCATTTCGACCAAAACTGTAAAGTCCATGGAGTGATTTTGATTTCACTCTACAGATTTATCATACATTGAATGTAGATGATTTGTGCCAAATTTTAATAGCCAAAACACTATGGTTAGAAAGTTATTTGGTTTTATTGCTGTGGCAGTCGTCATGACTGCAACTTTCGTATCTTTCTAATACTAATGTCTTTTGAGCAGTGGTCCAAGGCATCATGTTTTACAACTAACTAACAGCAGGAGCTATACATACATAGTCTCTTCTTTCTTTCCTGAAAAAATGAACACAATTAGACAAGTATTTTCCACGATATAGCAATTTCTTTGGGTTGCGTTTTTTGAACACCCTGTACAAGTTATCCCGTTTACAATACGGCAGAATATATTACACTTTGCTTGGGAGTATATCCTGACGAAACGTCAAATTGCAGTAATAGACACGCCTAACCATCGACAATGTACAGTGACAAAATATACTGTCGTACACTTTAGATGTACGGTGTCACTATTTAACCGAATTGAAGCAAATACAATGATGTAGGTTTGATGTAGGTTTAAACAATTATCTGAGGAATACAATAAGGATTTTATGTTTGATTTTGTGTGCATTCGTTGAGGAAGACATTTAACTTTCTTATGACGTTAAACGATTTTCGAACAGTGCTCGATTTTTTTCGTTTTTTCTTTAAACTACACAATTAAGGTCAATTAAGATTTAATATGTATTAAGGGTTTGGCTATAACTTAAAAATCATAAGTGTACATTGACAACTCGAATGTAACCTATTGAACTTACTCAAATCACAGTTCACCCTTATGCAGGCGACGTATTTTTCATAACACTAACAGTCAGGGGGGGGGCAGATGCATTGAAAAATTGAAACAGAACTATTACAGAATTACTTCAATTTGATTGAACCATTGAAACTATTTTCCAGATATATCATAAACAGGATTCTAAAAAGTCATATGCAATACGCTAGTATAGTTCTATCAATGTAACTAACAAAGCGTAAGGTACAGACGCCAAATAATCAAATTATGTTAGAGGCTAGAAGCAAACTCCGTGGCTCCGTGCTAGTCTCCAATGTATTCTATTCTGAGACACTGAATCGGCGTTTGGGCTGGAAGCTAACACCCAATGGGCACAAATTAACCACCACAAAAACAATACTTTCATAAAATGAAAAAGCAAAAAATCACATTTACCGTATCTTTAAAATCATCCGTACAAAGGATACTTATTCGTTAAATATCACTTGTTACCCGTAGAAACCTTAATGAATTTTGAAATGAAATCATTACATTGTTTAATAGTATATTTCATGAATTTTATGGGTAGATTATCCACGAAAAAATCGAGCACTGTTTGAAAATCTATCAACGTTACTAGAAAGTTAAATGTCTTCCCAAACGGATACACAAGAAATCAAACTTAAACTCCTGTATGTATCGCTCGGATAACTTCTTTAAAACCTACATCAAATCTACATCATTGTCTTTGCTTCAAATCGATTAATAGTGACACCGTGCATCTAAAGTGTACGACGGCGTGTTTTGTCATTGTACGTTGTCGATGGTTAGGCTTGATAGACGGCGAACACACATTTAATTCGTTAAACGTGGCTGTTCTTACGATATATAAATGAATAGTATATCCCTGAACATAAATAGACATATTTATATTAAAAGTATAAATAGAATACAATATACAAACAAAGTGTGAACGAGGCTAGGTTTCAAAGTGGAATTCATTCCGCATCCTTTTTTACGTGTGCTTACACATCTCAGAATAGTAATTTTCGAGTGTGAAATATATTTAACCATACGTTTTATATTTTGTAGTTGTTTGCTTTTGTATTCGCAATCACTTGATGATTCTTGACCGACTAGCATAGTACTTAACAAAATAATCTTAAGAATTGCTACATCAGTACCAACCTTGGAATTACTTTTGGCAGAGTCAACTTAACTCTCTGTCTGGCTGTGTTTATTTATTGTCATTGTATGTTGATTGTATGTTGGCAAGTTTTTAATAATTGAATAATTTTGGCACGTTAAATAATGTGAATACTTGTCAAAATCACAACAGCAAAAACACACGTTACGGTATCATTGACTCGATTTTAGTTTACCGTGATTGTTTTGGAGGAAAACTTACTATTAAGTGATTTTTTCCAAAAATACTTTTTATGTTGTAATGTTTTTTTCAGAATGATCCAATGATACTTCATTACCTGTGAAAACAAATACATTATCCTTCAATACGATTATAAGGATAATTGTGTTCTGCAGTAATATGAAATGAATTGAAATTGACAAAGCAGAAAAATTAGGTTGTTGTCCTAAAGATAGCGTAAAGAATGTAATATGGAACCCCATGTATTTCCTACAATTGACAAAACTCAGAACCAACTTTAAAACGAATGCCATTTATTCATCTATGAAACCTTAACATGTAACTATTTATCAGATGTATCGAAATCGAAAATTGTGAGAGGTTGTAATCCACGCATGCGTTGTTGTCCCTTCTGTGTCGTAAATGGATAAAACGGTTCTCGAACTCGCAACCTCGTGGTTACGGCATGCATGCGCCTGGCTCGAACTATCCACGACGTGACTAACAGTGTCAATAGGTCAGTAGGTATGTTGATAAATATTGAGAGGAGGCCCCGCCACATATTTGGGATGAGTTTCCAATACACGTCGTTGTGCAGCCATTTTCATATTCCTCAACCCAGTTAATGGACCCTCCGCACATACAACGAAAACCTTCATATGCCTTTGCATATCTGAAACCTAAAATATGAAATATATGAAAATTTATGTTTCTACTGTATATATATATATATATGTATTTTCCAAAACATTTTGATTAGATTTCAATAATTATACAAGCAACTTTGGATTTTAAAAATATGGATGCTGGTGTTCACAAGTATAAAAATATATGCTCCTGACAGCAAAGATATCGAAACGAGTAAGTTCATCAGTATGTATTTATTAACCATAATACAGTCAACCCATGTGTCATAACCCAAACGAGAACGAACGGTCTCAACGACCCTGTTATGCATTTTGCACTTCCATCATGCTAAAAGACCAAATGGTTTAAACTAAATCAAAAATAAATGTAATCTAACTGTATTGAAATAAATTCTTGCGATGTCGAAACTGTTTTCATAATTTTCATATTTACATTCATATCGTGAAATGTCAAGAAGAATTGGCTCCCATTATTCAAACTCGATATGTTTAATGTCCAAGCATGAACGTCAGTGTCAATTGCTATGGAAAGTTCTGCAATGAACTGCAAAAAGAATTTGGACCCAATAATCCTTGGCAAGGAGGATTGGCTCCCGGGGTCTCAACTCGATATTCGACTTTGATCGATGACAACATTGAAAATGTCATTAATTTCTGATATTGTAACTGATTATAAATTCATAATAATGAGTAATTCAAAGGATTTAAACTAATATCTTGATCACTTCTTGTGTGTTTTTATTGTTTGTTTGGAAATAACACCAAAACTCGCAATTCAAATTTGGAAGTGAAAAAATGGCGGATGTTTTGATTTTGAATTTTATAATCATGACATGACTATACGTGATAATAAGGTAAAGCCCATTACACCATATATGGCAAAAATATCGATGTTTATAATGGTTTAATGTGTCATTACTTTCTCCATTTTCCTTACCTCGGCTTGCGCAGTAATCAACACAGCCATATATGGTCATGTTGTTGTCATGGTAATTGTTATTTTTTGAATCAGTAACGCTTGTGCAGCCGACATAGATCAACCCTGCTGCAATATACGAAAATTCAAGGTGTAAAAAAACAAGACATGCTAATTGCAATTAAATGCATCGTCAAATTATGAAGGTTTCAAAGCGTTTTAATACGAAAAGATGTCAACAAATATTGTATTGCAAGTTTTGACTGCTATCCTATCCTTGCCCAATAATTATCTCTTATCTATCTCGATTTTTATGGTGAAAATAAAACCAAAACAATAAAAAGACACCGACTATGCAAGGCTAATGCTACCCAAACGATGGTAAAATGTAGAAAGTATATGAACAAACCGGGTCGTGATCCAATATGCCATAGATCATAATCGTGGTCTTTGCCTTTAGCAATTGTGCAATCTTTCTTCAATAAATTGCATGTGTCGTTTCCATTCAACTTCCGGAAATTGAAGTGAGTACACCCATCTGTCGATGCGCAGAAAACTGCGCACTCGTCGACTGATAAGAACGGCATCGCATACGTCACATTTAGGGCTCTGGTGTTTCTCCTTTTATGAAACACGTGTCCAATTGAACATTCCACGGCGAGGATACATATTCCCCCAAATAGGATCGCTCTAATGATTATACTCATTTTGATGTAACGCTTATTCTATCATTTCAGATACGTGCACAGGAAGTGATGAATGAAGCCAGTGTTTTATCCTGTTAACGGTGCTCTACAAATGCATTTTCCACTCCACGTTTCTCGCAGCCTAGCTATTTGACCTGCAATAATATTATGTTGTGATGTTTTCGCCAATGCTTGATGAGCTTTTTCAATTAGGTTTACAAATGACATTAATAGTACAACTGAATAAGGAAACATTATTAGAGTAACTGGCACACCTACAATGATTTATATCATTCAGAAACAATCTATCAATGAATCCATTTACATACGTTTAATGATTTGCTAAGTGCTCACCTTTAATAATGTATGAACTTAAGTTGCGTCTTTTCTGAGACTTGCCGAGATTGGGTTTGCACTGTTCTCTATGACCACTAGCACATCAATTAAAGGAATATTCCTTGCCAAACCATCTCTCTCCTCATATGGTAGCTATAACCATATATATGCTTGTCATGTTTAGCAAAACACGCTAAAATGTTTTGATATGGTCAAAGGACGATTCTCGGTTTGGAGAACGAAGTTCATCAATCTAAATGAGCATTATCCCTGCTTCGGACAAATTTGATTTTTGTACATAATAAAGATTTGAATGTCTTCTTTTGAATAGTCATAATTTAATTTGGGTAATATTTCTAGATTTTTCTCAAAAAAATATTAGCGAAGTACACTGATGAACTTCTTTCCCTAAATAGAGACTTGTATTTTATTAAAATCGGTCTAATAGAGGGTTATCCCTGCTCCAGACCAATTTGATATTTTTACATCTTGTAGATTTAAATGTCCTCTTTTGAATATTCATAGTTTAATTTGGGTAATATTTCTATATTTTTCATGAAAAAATATTAGCCCAGGAGACTGTTCTCCAAACCGAGAATCGTCCTTTGATCACTTAGAAATGTGATGCTCAATTCCAGTAAGCTGCCATCTTTTAAAATTTCACACAGGAAATGATGTCATCGACTCTCAACTTTGCATATAGCATTAGGTGAGGAGCTATTAAGAATTACAAAACCAGCTAAATATTCTTTTTCAACTTTGTATCTTATTTAATCCTTCTGAAAATCTCTTCTTTTATTCTAAGTTGACAAGCCCTGAAAATATTTTTGCACAGAAAGTAATGATCACTTGTCTAGAAGTGATTTTGTGCTACTTTCCTATACTGTTATGGGCAAGGTTATAGAAGTTGAGAGTTGATGACATCACTTCCTGCAAGAAATCTTAAAAGATGGCAGCTCACTGGAAATAAGCACTAGATTTTTAAATGATCAATATTGACCATATTAAAACATTTTCCCATGTTTTGCTAAATATGGAAACTACAGGGTGATCAATAAATAAGGTAAAAGTATCTGGCATTTCTTCAGATTTTACCCAATCCTCATAAAATTTGCACAGAATAATGTTCAAACATTATTGAATTGAAATATTAAGTTACAGATCAAAGTGATGTGATTGGTTGAAGTTATGGTTGCCATAGCAACAGAAAGCATGAAGACCCGGGGCAACTATCAAAGAACTAAATTTTCAGTCGAAGCGCTTTTGATAATATATTTCAAATCACAATTGAAATGACATATCATATTCTTATTTTATACTTCATAACTACTCTACCTTATGTCCTTTGTTTTTACCATGTAGTTCATGTCTTCTACTCCAGTCTTTGAACACCTTTTTAAACCCATTTTCCCATAGCCTGCTGCAAATTCTTAAGATAGCTGACTTCAAGTCTTCCCATGAGAAACTACCTCAACTCCCTCTCCAGGTCGCCATGAAGGTAAAATCATTAGGGGACAAGTCAGGAGAGCATATAACATGACCTAACAGTAGGAAACCCAGTGCTTCAATGGCTTGTACCCGATGTACCGTGAGAATAGCATTGTGAGATGAAGCATTATCCCAGTGCAATGTGAAAATTTTACGGGCCTCTTCTTCCTCTTTGCTCTCATCAAATCTCTTCTGTATTGTTTTTCATCATTGACCTGTGTCATAGACTTTCTATGATCACATCAGTTATCATTATATATTTATCCTTTCCGTGACATCAAACACCAAATTTGCAAGAAAGTATGTAACAATGGTAACTAAGTATTAAAACAATAAATGCTGGCACCCATGTTTATTTCTTTTCAGTTTGAAAAAGAGGTGCTTTTTATCATTTTTCGTTCAAATTGGACGCAATTAAATTGCCCCGGGTACCTCCGACTCCAGTTGCCATGGTAACTATAATATTAACCAATCAGATGACAGAATTTATATATTTATATGTTTTAATTTAGAAATGTTAAAGGTATATTCTGACCAAATTTCAGGATGTTTGGACCAATATTTACAAAATACCAGATACTTTTACCTTATTTATTGATCACCCTGTATATATATGATTATAGCTACCATATCAAGAGAGAAAGGGTCTGGCAAGGAATATTCCTTTAAAGCTACACACAGTAACAAATGAACGCATAGTAGCCTCGATTTCATTTTAAAATACCAGCCTATTGTAAATATCTCAGTTTGAGTATGATACTGGTCAAAATGAGTCCCGTATATGTATTGTAATGAAAATGTTTTACACACGTATAATAAATGCGAAATCTCATAAGAACATTTCTATTGGTCATGATCTTTATTCAAATAAAAAACTTGAAAATCAAATAAAACACTTTCTAGACGTTTCAGATGACTAGCTCAACTGGTACACTTTCATGAGCGTTAAATGATTTTCTCTGAATGCCAGGCACACCTGGATTCTGTGGGTAACGTTATTGACAACCCTAGCACATTCCCCCACAGAAATGGCCCTGATCTTTCTTGTGATCTCTATCTTAAGGAGTTCTATGGTTTGGGGGTTTGTTACATACATCATAAAAAATCCACATAATTGATCTTGTCATCTGTAACATCTTGTATAGTTGCTCCATGCTGTCCAGTTTTATGTGCAAAAGAAGAAGTCATCGGGAATCATAAAGATAAAAAAAAGTTATTCAACTTGAGGTGGGTGGCACTTTTTGTGTCACCCTGTACCAACAGAAAACTTCATTTTGAAATACTACAAATAGCCAAACACTCGACATATTAGGTGACACTTTAATAAAATAGATAAATAATATTAAATAAACATGAACTCATATATCTAATATATAATATACCTAAACATTAGATCAACGACAATTTGATACCACATTAGAATATATCCGTATAATGTTTGTATAGAATAGCAATAATCCGACGCTAATGGTTGCAACTGATTCATTGTTTGTTGATAATTGCATACCGATATACTATTTTGTTTATTTATAGTGACCCTGACAGATTTCTGTTGGACTTCAAAGATTTTGCATTGACATCACTCAACAGCAACTATTTAAAATAATTTAACAGTTCAGAGGATTCCATGGCCCGGGTTGTTCCCATCGGATATATCTACGATTATTTGATTCCTGAGAAAGGTTTGCCCATTTGCCCCCTCCCAGCGGTATCAAGTGCTTGATGAAAAAATCACGAAATGTCCATGTTATGATCAATAACTGTTGTATTCCCAAATACAGACGGGAAAGTACCAAAAATAAAACATGATTAGATAGGCGTTAACTGTTCTGAATAAGGAAGGTTGTTGCGTCTGTAAATACAATCCTATATCAATCGCTATTATACACGTACTATTCCGCACATTTAAAGCTACCGAATGTTTAATTTTTAAAATAAAAAAATAAGAGGTTGTCTTGCACGTATTGAATTTATCATCGCAAACTTAAGCATAGTGGAAAATTGTCGTAACTCTTTCAGTACGAGTCAGGGATACTATACTGCAATATAAAACAATCTGTTTATACCTATATTGTTAAAGTGATTGCACATTAACATCATATTAACGCAAACGACTAAAGGATATAAATTATTAACAATGTGCACAAAGTTTTGCCTTTATGTCATATGTTTGATGGGATTTGCAATTTTGAGAGTAAAAGGGGGTGAGTATTTTAATATGACCATATCGCTGTTTCTAATGTACTGCACTTGTAGCACTTGGCATAGACTATGTATAGGCTTTTTGACCGAATCTCATTCTCCATAATCGAATAATATGGCATAGACAAAAAATATTGGTTTGTTTCGGGGGATCGTTGTCATATGCTTTTGATACATGGCTTTCGAAACAAAGGATCTGGAGCCAACCAAACCTTGCAATATTTCCTCCATCATTTTAAGGATTTTTGACTACTCTTACAAATTGTTTTTCAATGGTGAAAGTGCCAATCATGTGATGTCCATATATTTACACAATGTTTTATTTCAGAGACAATATGGCCCCCCGATCCATGTAGTGGTGCACCATGCATGAACGGTGGACTTTGTGTTATCGTTGGAACAGAGTATATATGTGTCTGTAGCCCAGGTTGGAGTGGCCCAAGATGTTCACGTTTCGTCGATCCATGTATTCCCAATCCATGCATGAATGACGGACGATGCCATAACCCAGGTCAAGAGAAGGAGGTGATATGCAAATGTAGACCTACATGGATTGGTCGACGGTGCGAAACAAAGGATGTCTGTTCGCCAAACCCTTGTCAAAATAAAGGAGCATGCGAATATCTGGCCTCAGACAGAAGTGAATTCAGATGTTTATGTGGTTGGAGATACAGTGGCCAAACATGTTCTCTGAACAGACTACCAGACGTGTGTCTTTCTAAGCCATGTAAGCATAGAGGCAGATGTATCGAGAGGGACTCCAAATTCAAATGTCTATGTAAAAAGGGCAGAACAGGGAAAAGGTGTGAAAAAAAGATTAAAAAATGTGCGGATAATCCATGTCAGAACAATGGAAAGTGTATAACGGAGAATGGAAAGGGAATAACGTGTGAATGCCCATCTACATGGGGTGGACCTAAATGCTTACAAAGAGACCCATGTTCACCGAACCCATGCATGAACAGAGGTAAATGTACAATAGTCGACTCGGGGGTGAATTGCATATGTAGACAAGGCTGGAGAGGGGAAGCCTGCAATGCACGGGATAGCAATAAGTGTGAACCAAATCCATGTAAAAATAGCGGAGTGTGTATGAACAGCACAGAAGGTTACATCTGCCAGTGCAGACCTGGTTGGAGTGGACCAACATGTGAACGTTGCACACCAAACCCATGTAAAAATGGTGGGACGTGTAAAGCGTCATCGTCAATGAAGCCAGGCATCGCTTGCTATTGTACACCAGATTGGCAAGGAGCGATGTGTGACACTCCTAAGAAACAAGGTGAGAAAGCGAATTTTTGGAATCAGGTTTTGCTAGGGATTGGTTTAATGGCTTCCCCTGAATATGACACCAGGCATCAAATAATTGATCTGTATTATGATTCCACCAACTGCTGTGATTTTAAGACTGTTTAACATCAGCTGCCTCTAGTCAGATCGACTGACAAAACAACCTTTTTTGGGGTTGTCGAGTTGGCCAAGAGGGCTTGAGCGCCGGCACGTTCGGGCTAGGCGATTGGGCGCCGCAACGAGGTTGCGAGTTCGAGACACGTGTGCTCCTTGTGTTTATTTATTTAAATGTAAACTGTTTAGAGACCCTGATATACTATATGATAAGGTAACACATTTGGCTGTAGCCTAGAGTAAGTCAATATGAACGGGTGGCAATATAACAATGTGGGTTCGTAAAAATATAAACACACTTTGGCCATGCTATCTTTGTAGATGCTCCTAATATTGTTCTTGTAATTACTGACGCACTCGGGTACAATGACGTTGGGTTTAGGAACCCCAAGTTTGTAACCCCTGTCATAGATGCCTTGGCGGGAGAAGGAATCCAATTGGATAATTACTATGTTGACACCTTTTCAACCGCTTTTAGAGCAAGTTTGATGACAGGGAAGTACTTTGTGAGTATACTATATGAGAAATATAGTATACCATAGTATATCGGACACACGTTATCAAGCATTCAACATAAGTAACTTCATCCACAAACATCATTCTCTCTATAACATGTTTTTTAAACAGTTACTGCATTAAAGTACCGTTTGTATATTATATGAAAACCGTACTTAATCACATTTTAAGCCAAATACTGGGGCAATGTCGTTTATTCCTAATGCCGTAGACAATTGTATTCCCCACGATGAACTTAATCTGGCTGAGAGGTTACAACGTGTTGGTTACTCTACGTCTTTCATTGGTAAATGGCATATGGGATATTCAAGGACGTCTTGTTTACCTAGAAACAGAGGATTTGATTATTTTTATGGTAAAGATATGTTATGTTTAAAGCTATGTTTAATTGTTATCTTTTTATTCACAAGTTATACTTTCTTTGAAAACCACACGTCATTTTCACTGTACTAATTGCAAACACTCTTTAACAAACAATTAAGCAAATTTTGTAAAGTTACATATGTCAAATTGGAAAATGTAATCTTAAGAAAAAATAACGTGTTATTGCAGGGCTGAAATTTTAATTGGATAACTTTTTATTTTCACGTTTTTCTTAAACATTAAACAAAAACGCGAACATCGCGAATGTTGGTTTTAATGTAAGTTGCAAACATAAATACATACATAAGGATTTTTCCAACAAAGTTTTCCGTGAAGGTACTATGTACACATCACAATATCGTAACGTTTAACTTAGGTAGCTACGTAGCTTGGACTGATCATATAAATCATACGGCAACGTCGTGTATCAAAAGAGGTGATGAGACAACAGTGGGAAAACCATGCTGCTTAAACAGAGGTAGCATATTAAGAGATTGCATTAAGAGCTGCTGGGACAAAAATCACAATGTCGCAGGTAAGATCAATTCCCCGGCTCTGTACTAAGTGTTTCGTACAGTGCACTCATTGGTCAGTTTAGGCCGTCCCTTTCTTTTCGCATCCCCTTCTCGTCTTCAAAATTCAAAATGGCAGGGAGAAATTGCCCGGAGCCAAACTTTTCTCTCGAAGCATTTGTAAACTGCAATCTCAATAATTTCAATAATTATCAATGTAGTAGATATGCGTGTAACCAATAAAACAAGCCGAAATGTCAATAAAAACTTAAGTCGGGGTCAGGAAGTAAGTAAACAAATTGGAACAGCCAAACGCTTAACCGGAAGTAGAAATGTAAAAGTGGAAATGAGCATCGAAATTGACGATTTTGCAATATTCTGGTGAATTTTCATGTCCGAATCGTAAGATAGACCTCAGAGCAAGGCTACTAGTTTCGAATACACCCCTTAGGTCTAGGCACAAAAGCTTTTTAACCAGACCAGGCTTTTTACAGACAACGTTTGTGCCTTCGACCTGTGAGGTGTTTTCGAAACTAGTAGCCCTGCTCTTCGGTCTATATTTCTTAAATATGCTATAGTATAATTTGGGATAATATTTATTAAAAAGTATAGTAGTAATATGGCATTATATCGTATCAAGGTTGACAACACACTTTAATATTGAACCACATGTTAATACATGGTCGTCAATTTTAAACGTAATCATCAAAATCATACTAAAACCAAGAATCTTAAATTAGGAAAAATATTTTCCCCATTGCTAGGAATCGATCTTATGGATAATGAAAGACCAGTTATTGACGCTGGTGGACTTTTCGGGCCTGATTTGATAACAGACAAGGCAGTAGGAAGGATTGTGGATCATAATCCTGAAAAGGTATATTTCATTATGATGTCATGAAGTCCCTTGATTCAAACCTTAAAAAGAGAATCAGATCTAGCGAGCAGGCCAACAAAATTTCAATTTTAGAATATTTCTGGTTCATGTAATCCCTGTTATGTCTATTTTCTAAAAATCCACAAAGTGCACTCTTCATTTCAGGGAAACTAAATTTTTACAATAATGTATTATTTTTCTGTGGTTACCATTCTTATTATTTCGGAGAATTTACACATTTTTCACCTATTTTTGCACTTTGAATCCATAATAACTTCACCAATTTATAACATATCGCGAAGCTTTTTGGAGATATTGTATTTGAGATTGTGAAGAATAGATTGGTAGGTCAGTTGTGTGTGTGTTGCTTGAAATTCTGTCACCCCTATAGATCTGATTCTTCCTTTAAGTTTTAATTACACATTCTCTGAGAAACGAATATACATAATTCATTTTGATTTAAAAACTTAAGGAGCAATTATCAATAAATTTCTTCTGTAACGTTGCGGTAAACTGAACATCGACGACATTGACTTCAATATAAATATTAGCATACATTAATAACTATGGCATAGATTATATTCATATTCATTTTGTTTATATACATATACGATACAAAATCAACGAAGCATGGCGAATTTTATCGTTTTACAGCTAACTTCTAATAGTTGCAACTTGTAAACATTCCAGTTAACTAACTATTATTGTATTGTTACAATATCGGAAAAACCAAGAATTCAAAAATTCAATTTTCCTGTCATTCAATAGGTAATCCTCCTTTCGCCATTTTGGTTTCATATTTACGTTTTAGCGATTGTTTCTGTCGGTAGCCTATACCACACATAATCCTACACCTACAGATGCATATCTTAACAAAATAACGGAAATACCCCCAGGCAGACTTGGCCCTCTTAATTCACCAAGAAAAGATGTCGCTGGTATGTATTTTATTATAATATATCCACTAAATATAATCACAAATGTTTGTCAATATATACAGAACATTGCATGTTTGAATATCTACGCGTGTGATTTTTTCCATGGTTACAATCAAAGTCAGGCTTTGATTTAAGTAGTTTAATAATTAGTTAATTAGAATAATTAGTTCGAGCTGTTGTTCAGTTTTATTATGTACATGTATTTCTAGTTTTTTTTCTTCTAGCCATGATAAATGCAGTAGATACAGGTGTAGGGAAAATAATCGACAGTCTCAAACAAAAAGGTCTTTGGAAAAACACGGTGCTTCTATTCACATCTGGTAGGTCCTTGGCGATTTGTTATAGTGTGAATTAAATAACACGTCTGTCTGTAACTAAATTACAGAGAGCGTCGCTGTTAAACAAATTACTTGTTTTAACAATTACCTGACCATTTGTGTCTCAAACTAACGAAAGCAAAATACGTTTAAAGGTGAAATTCATAAATAAGACGCCACATATAATATTTCATTCTTAGATTTCTGACGAGGGAAGATTGTTGTAGTTCCGCTTAACATGTGTATGAAATAGAAACGCTTTGTCTCTAATTTTATATTCATAAGACCATGGAGGACACAGACGAAAGAACAATAATTGGCCATTGAGAGGAACAACACACACTTACTTCGAAGGTGGAATCAGGGGATTAGGTATACTAACTGGTTCAGTCACCAACAAAGGTATACCGCCTCAACAATATTTACAGAATACGATTCTTTTTCGTATGCTCTGTAAAATGAAGCCTTCTGATTGGTCAGTTCTTGTGCTGTACCAATCTGTATTGCTACTGAGATTGTCTCCGTTGATCATCTCCGTCGCAATACAGAAAATATTGGTACGGAGGGGACAATCTCAGTAGCAATACAGGATATCACACGATAAAAACGTCATTGAATGATTTGAAGTGCAATACAGGATATATTCCGTCTCGATATTCTGTATTGACACTCGACTTCGTCTCGTTCAAATACGGAATTTCTCGAGCAGAATATATCCTGTATTGCACTTCAAATCATTCAATAACTTATAAAATCGTATATATGCGCAAAGTTTAAGTATACAACTATCAATTTACGAGGTTCTCCGTTTTACCGAGCACATTTGATTCCAGTGTAGTTGTAAACTAACATCTCGCGCAAAACTTCTTCACCATATCATCTCAATTCTTGTTTATTATCAGCGAAAAGTTGCACCGGGTCCAATAGTCAGCTTTACCATATGACCGACTGGTACAAGACTTTCCTGACACTCGCAGGAGCAACGATAGGTTCTGACACAGATTCCTATGATATTTGGACTTCAGTTTGGTAATAGAACATCACTCATTTTTCTCAAAGGCAAACACAATTGATAATTGTAATCCGTGAAGCAATACATTTTATCATTTCACTGTAAGAAACCTCATTCCCAATAATTTTGTTTCTTGGGAAGCATATTGCTGGCGTTTTTACCGAACTTTCTTAAGAGTAATCTATAAACTATTATATATATCCCGGCCCGGAAATCGTCCAATTAAATCCATACCATATCGACTTGGTGTTTTAAGCGTAAGAGTTTGGGGTATAACAGTGAAAAATAGAGATATCCGAGACACTTTGATGAATCGAAAAATAATACGTGTAAAATGAAATCAAATATCTCTTCAAATGAAATATTTGCGTAATTTCTATGGCAAAGCACCGTCTAAAGTGCATTTTTGGGCATATGCTCAACCTACATAAATTGTATTCATTTTATGTTCTATTGTAGTTCTTGTACGAAGAGTCCTAGAAAGGAAATTCTCCATAGTTTAAATCCAGAAATGCCAAGACTTGGAAGCCCTGTCTACCCAGATACATTCGACAGCTCAGTTCAAGCTACGATCAGGATGGGAGACTATAAATTATTTACTGGTCGTAAGTGAACTTCCATGGAGCTTGTATTCGTGAATGCAAATCAACCTACTATTTTATTACCGCTTTATAACCAATTTGGTTAAAACGAATGAAATATATAGTGGTAGGTATATTACTATTAATATTTAAATGAGTTGCCAATAAAATAGTAGGTTAATCCGGTAAACCGGAACCAGAAGCTGCATTCGCGAATACAAGGTTATTCAGCATGTACCCTGTTTCATCTGCGTAGCCTGCAAACAATAGAAAACAACTCATTTGATAAAAAGTACACCAAATTATATCCAGTTATCAAGTTCTACATGTACAAGAGGCAAACTAATTTCAATAAAAATGTTTGCACCTTTTGCACCGTTTAGCCGAACATAACCAACAGAGTAAAATTGCGAACGAAAGATGTCTACACAACTTTTTTTTATATTTCCAGGGATCAGTGGTACTGGCGGTTTCAGTGGCTGGGTTGCTCCCGCAGAATACCCTGAACTTGTAACCCTAGAGCCAGATCTAAACGACCCTAGCAATGTACACCTGTATGATATTAAAAATGATCCTCTTGAGAATTATGATCTAAGTGCAGCGTTTCCAAATAAGGTAGGTTGGCGCATTTCTAATTCAAAGGGTGGTCAAAACGGTGGAAATATGTCAATATGGGTGATACAATAATAGTCGTTGTATGCCTTAACCACACTACCCTACACCGTGATCACATTTAACAATGATACAGGGTACAGTAAAGTTGCAAATGGAGCGTGTATTCTATATCTTTGTCCATTTGGGCTTTCTGGTAATAATACGTTGCAAACTGCTCGATGAATCTATACAATGTATAGTAGAACACTTGGAATATATCTAGAATCTAGTATACCTTCAGAACTACCGAAATGTCATGGCATGGTATGCCTATAATGGTTGTGGTTGCTATAGTGACACGGATCGGGGATTATGGCATCGCCTCCCTTGTAAATTCTATGTGCACAAACTAGCATTTGAAATACTGGTTAATCGTTTCGTTATATTTCAAGGTTAGGGAAATGCTAGATAGACTTCAACAGTTACGACAAAAGATAAAGCCTGAACCTTACCCTTGCCCTGACCCTGCAGGTGCCCCTGTACTTGTCAGTGAAGGCAAGAGTACCAGCATCGGAGATGACGTCTACGCATGGCTTCCCTGGATTGATGATAAGTAGTATTAGTGGTGATGATGAGAACAACTGAGTTGCTGCGTGCTATATAAAAAATCATATCTTAATTAACCTTATCAATCATTATGATGTTTTATATTGTCTTGAAAATTTCTTTATTTACCAAGATATAATTATAAAATACGAAAATGCATTAATTGAATAATCATAATATAGACAATTTTGCATGTTTACCCACTGCACAAGGGCGTTCTAATTTAGTAACTACGGCACCCATTCACACAAAACCGTATCTTAACTAAGTTCTTGAAACGTGTTGCCCATCAGGATAAAACTGTATCCGGACGCATTTAACGTTGTTTCAACTATGAAAAAAATGACTGCCTGCCATCCATTTCTACTAGTAGTGGGGTAAGATGGTGACTGTTTATAACAATACAATCACACAAAACTAGTTCTCACTACGTTCTCGAAAACGGGCCTAAACTGTATACGAACTGATTGGACGTACTTAGAACAAATTGGCGTCTATTTACAAACTTCATGAACTTACTTGAACGGATAGGTCATCCAGAACTAACCCTACTATCACACCAAACTAGTTCTCACTACGTTCTCGAAAACGGGCTTCAACTGTGTACGAACGAACTCAACGCATTGAGAAACCGTTTAGGGTCTATTTATAAACATCATCGAACGTACTTGAACGGGTAGGTCCTCTAGAACTTAGAACATGCTCAAAATGCTCTCGTGGTCGTCACGTTCTACAATTAGAACGAGTGACAAAGTACTAACGACGACCTGGACGTACTACGAGCGGAACCACCGTACTTCAATCCTACTAGGGACATTTTTACAACGAGTTGAATTGTCTGAGGATGTATTGAGAACGAGGTAGAACTAATTGCAAACGGGTTTAAACTGATGAAGAACGTATTAAAGACTGCTTATGAACGAGTTAGCAAAAATATAGCTATCACACCAAACAAGTTGCCACTGCGTTCTTCAAAACTGGTTTTAAACTGTGTGCGAACGGAATGAACGTAGCTGCAACTTTCTAAGGACTATCTACGAACTTCTCAGACGGGAAGGTGATTTTAGAATTTTGAATCGATGGCGACCATACCGTTCTGTAATCAGGTCATGATGACCTTCTATACGACGTTGCACACCGACGTGGTGCGACCTGAACGAACTGCGAATGAGGTGGACGTATTGACGACTGTTTATGAACGAAGTAGTTATTTATTTTAGACATATTTCCCGACCACAGCCAGATTGAGCCCGTTTTGCCACGTTTTCGTAGGACTGGCAAGAACGGGTAAGAACTAGTTTGGTGTGATAGGGGGGTTAGAGCGTGCTCAAAATGATCTGGTGCATGGTTGCCAGGTTATGCAATCAGATGTGATAAAGTACTCAAAGCTAGACGTACTACGAATGGAACTGTCGTACTTCAATCCTATTAGAAACGTTTTCGAAACGTGTTGAACTGTCATGGAAGGTATTGAGACCTAGGTAGAGCAAATTGTAGACGGATGTAAAATAATTAAGACGTATAAAATACTGCTTATGAAGAACTTATCAAAAATATAGTTATCACACCAAACAGGTTGCCACCGTGTTCTTCAAAACGTTGCCTAGCTGGTTCCAAACTGTGTGCGAACGGAATCAACTTAGCTGCAACTTTCTACGGTATATTTGGGAACTTTACCCTACTATCACACCAAACTAGTTCTCACTACGTTCTCGAAAACGCGCTTAAATTTTGCATGAACGGGTTTGACGTACTAAGAACCGTTTGGGGTTTCTTTACAAACTTTATCAAACTACCCGAACGAGTAGGTCATCCAGAACTTAGAACATGCTCACAAATTGTTGATGACGTTTTTGGTGACAACGATTGACAACGTACTTAAGTCGATAGGGACGCACTGGGGACACACTGCGGACTGAACTGTCGTACTTCAATCCTACTAGGGAGTCGTGAGCACTCCGTTTGTAGCTTATGAATGAATTAACAAAAATAGCTATCACCCCAAACAAGTGGTCAATGCGTTCTTTAAAACGTTGCCGAACTGGTTTAAAACTGTGTGTGAACTGGATGAAAGTAGCTGAAACGTTCTGCTGTCTATTTACGAACGAAGACGACCGGACGGTGAAAGTTATTCAATTTTCAATCAATTCAAAATTCAATGGTGACATCGGCTTTCTGTTATAAGATCGTCTGACAACGTACTTCAAACGAGATGACCTACTAGACCAGGAACGTAATTGCCGTACTTCAACCCTACTAGAGACGCGTCATACGACGTTGTGCAATCGGATATCGATCCCAATACGTGTGCACACCAACATGGTGCGATCTGAAGATGTTTATGAACAAAGTAGTTAAATAATTTAGACATATTTGACGACTAAAGCCAAATTTAGCCCGTTTGTGTAGGACTGGAAAGAACGGTTGAGAACTAGTTTGGTGTGATAGGGGGTTAAGAAAAAACTGCTGTCAGATTGAAGTGGTACTTACATTGATTGTCAAAACGGGCTTAAAATGATACGAACGGATAGGACGGCCATGTATGACCTTTACCCTACTATCACACCAAACTAGTTCTCACTACGTTCTCGAAAACGGGCTTCAACTTTGTACGAACGGACTGGACGTACTTAGAACCGTTTGGGGTCTATTTACAAACTTCATCGAACGTACACGAACGGGTAGGTCCTTTAGAACTTAGAACATGCTCAAAATGTTCTCGTGGTCGTCACGTTCTACAATAAGAACGAGTGACAACGTACTAACGACGAGCTGGACGTACTACGAACGGAACCGTCGTACTTCAATCTTACTAGAGACGTTTTTACAACGAGTTGAACTGTCTGAGGACGTATTGAGAACGAGGTAGAACTAATTGCAAACGGGTTTAAACTGACTAAGATCGTATTAAAGACTGCTTATGAACGAGTTAGCAAAAACATAGCTATCACACCAAACAAGTTGTCACTGCGTTCTTCAAAACTGGTTTTAAACTGTGTGAGAACAGAATGAACGTAGCTTCAACTTTCTAAGGTCTATTTACGAACTTCATGAACGTTCTCAGACGGGAAGGTGATTTTAGAATTTTGAATCGATTCAAAATTCGATGGCGACCATACCGTTCTGTAATCAGGTCATGATGACCTCCCCGACTAAGAGGCGGTCTATACTACGTTGCACACCGACGTAGTGCGACCTGAACGAACTGCGAATGAGATGGACGTATTGAAGACTGTTTATGAACGAAGTAGCTAATTATTTTAGACATATTTCCCGACCACAGCCAGATTGAGCCCGTTTTACGACGTTTTCGTAGGACTGGCAAGAACGGGTAAGAACTAGTTTGGTGTAATAGGGGGGTAAGATATCCTCTTACGGCTGTCCTGTTTAAAATTCAATCTGATATGTACATCCCGTTCGTTGATCATTTTCGTAAACAGACGACCGAATCACCTTCTTACTAAGTTGTCTTTCCTCGAAGCATGTGACAACACATTTTAAAACGATTATAAAATAAACCAAGAGGTTCTCATTTGGATCCCCTTGGTTTAGTAAGCTTCCATATTGACAACTTATTTACGATTGGGTCAGAATAAAGCAATCAATGTATCCAAATTAACTCAGGGTAGCTTTTCATGAAACAAAATATTAGTATAAGCTCCAACACTAGCCTTTGAGGTTAATGTAAAAATAGTGTGTCTAGTCTGGATTTAATTATCAATCAATTAAGTTTTCGAAAATAGATCTGATTTTGCTCGTTAACATTGAGTTCTCGAGTTGTTTGGTTTTTAATCATGAATACTTCAGACAGTTCTCGAAATCCAAAAGCCCAACTCATAACTGTACTAAGGAAGTTTAAGCGTAAATGTATTTGGTGTACCAGGCAAACTTATGCCTTGGTCACATTTGCCCCGATTTTCACTAGGGCGCGGCCGATTGAGTATTTAGTCCAAAATTCAAACACTCAATCGGCCGGGCGCCGGTCGATGGATCGGAGCAAATGTGACCCAGGTATTAGTCATCAATGGACCAGGATTGAATTTAGATGTCAATGTACTTAATTCAAAGTTTGTTATAATGGACCCATTGATCAAGAAATACGCACAACATATTTTAGATTATATTTATATTTTATTTAATATCTACTGCACGGATGTACATTTATTATAGCAAATTAGATCATTAGCTAACAATCAAATCATCAACCCATGAGAGCCAGCTATACATATCTTCCTCCGTACTCACAAGAACAGGTGCCCCAGCAGGGTCGGGACACGTATATGGTTCACGTTTAGTCATTGGTTGTAGCTCCTGTAGCCTATTTAGCATTTCCCTGACCTAAATAACATGTAATACTGATAATACTGTGGTAGTGAAGTATATGCCATATGTCAAATATAGTATACAGCATATCTGCAATGGTTAAATAGTTGCATTGTTTTGATGGCCATTGTGGCTCAGAACTTCTATTCAAAATATGTAGTATGTGTTTTTCGCAAGTGAACCCCGCCTCTTTAGTTTCAATTGCAGTCATATGTTCTTACCACGAAAATATCCAATTTACCTTATCTGGCATCACTGCACTAAGATCTATCTTCTCCATCGGGTCATCCTTAATATTATACAGATGTACATTGCTTGTGTCTTTAAGATCTGGCTCTATAGTTACAAGTTCCGGGTATTCTGCGGGAGCAACCCAGCCACTGAAACCGCCAGTACCACTGATCCCTACGAAAATGTAGATTCAAAAAGTGAAATATATTTACTTCATTGTTACGCAAGTCTTATATTCTTGTTAAACTTGACTCTCAATTCAAATCAGTTCGATCATGTTTGTTTGATTTCATAATACTTACTTCCAGTAAACAGTTTATAGTCTCCCATCCTGATCGTAGCTTGAACCGAGCTGTCAAAAGTATTCGAGTACAAAGGGCTTCCAAGTCTTGGCATTTCTATGTTTAAGGCGTGTAAAATTTCTGTTCTAGGACTCTCCGTACCAAAACTTTAATCAGTAAATACAATGAAATATTTTGATTAGCCTATGGATATGTTATGTGACGCAAAAGGACGATTTGCCTTTAATTCGATTATTGCGCTTGAAAAAAAGGGGCCACAATGGATATGATTTACTATATTGGAATGATGAAAAAAGTATAGTACCATCCTTCAAGATCGGTCCTTCACTGCTTTCATAGCAGATCAATGTAATGCAATGAATTACTCTTGGGCCAAGAATGTATATTACGAATACTTTTGAATTTGATGGCTATGTCCTGCTTTATTATTGATGCAAAGCGTTTGTAACGGTCTATGCAAACACAATTCATCCATAGCTATCCACTCTCTTATATATCGTATATAATTGCCATGTGCTTTAGGTATGCGTATCATAGTAACACACACTAATTAGTCAGAAACTTAAAGGACGTGTCCGGATATATGCCCTTTTGGTCCCTCAGTCAAATGTATATGAAATATGGTTTGTATTACTGTCCTAGTTATATTTGTTAAGTATATTTACTTTTTTCACGAGTTTTGATGCATAATTAACCCCCTGCTAAAAGTAAGAATAAGTATCTTAACAAAAATGAAATAGTCATTATCATAGAAAAAACACCAACGACAACATGTATGGCATACAAAGAAGAAATAACTTAAGACCCATGAAGAATTAAAAAGAAAATCATATTTTTGAAACATATATTTATGGATTAACATTTTTTCAAAATTTTGAATTTCCCGCCAGTTTAATTTGAAGGGGGAAAACAAGATGGCTGCCATTTGATGTAACAAATATCAGAAAAAAAGTTGCTTCACTTTTAGTTTTCACATTGAGCACAGTTTTCCGGTTTAGGGTTTTTGACTGATTCTGACTCTTCATCACCAGGGTTATGTATAGAGATTATAAAATTGAAACCAAAATGTTGTACTTAGCATGAATTGACTGAAATATGTGTAACTTCACCAACACAATTGAAGTCTCAAAACTGGATGCTCAGAGGACCATGAATTGACTGAAATATGTGTAACTTCACCAACACAATTGAAGTCTTAAAACTGGATGCTCAGAGGACCATCTACGTAACCCTTGTGAGCTATTCAGTAATAGCAAAAGGTATCATAGTGGCAACAACCGTGATCAATATGGCCACGCAACTGTAGGCCTGCAATCTGTTGAGGGATGTTTACTTGCTCTCAATGACGTGTTGGGTGAAATAATAAATAACACTGGTGCCTAGAAATTGTACAGTAGCTACTGGAAAAGATTCAATAGACGCTTTGCAGGAAATAAAGTGGCAAGCCGGGTGAGAAACATGAGAAACATATGCTAATTATAAAGATACCCGTCGTGTATCCCAATGGCCCGTAAAGCATACATGAATCTAATCAAAGACATGAACAACTGTCCTCATAATGCCAGCCACCTGTTCATCAATTATAAAAATTCATATAACAGTATAACGGAAAGTTATGGATGTTTAAGTGTATTAAAGTGTTCAATTTTTCAATATTAATAAATGAACAGGAAGCCAAATATACATAAATATAGCATAAGATGTGAAAAATAAGAAATGGGAGCTTCATCTTAAATGACTATACAACTTTGAAAATAAATATTTAATAACCTTAAAAATATTAAAGTGTTCGAAATTGCTTGTAGTTTGTCAATGTGTAATTTTAACATGATTCAATAAGGGGCAGTGTTTAAAACAAGTTTTAAAGTTTGTGACTAATTAGTATGTGGGGTACTAGAGTGTACAATGAGTAGAACTTAATTACCGGACTGAATTCCAGATATCATACGAGTCAGCACCAGAGGTACCTATATCTGCACCGGCAAGTTTAAGAAATGTCTTGTACCAGTCTGTCATATGATAAAGCTGTTCATTGTACACAGGGGCATCTGTAGCTGTAGAAGAAGACCGACACTGTATTTTGGGTTTACGAAAAACACCGACCGTCGACCACCGACCAGTCACTCTCCACAATTGGGTACACGTGGTCGGTGGTCGGCTGTCTGTCTTTTACATAAAGATGAAAAGACGCAATATTAGAAGAAAGTAAAACTAAAACTGGGAATCCAATGAATATAGTACATTTACAAGGTCGTGATTTCAAATCACGATGAAAAACGTAACATCGTTAATGTGTCGTCACATCGGAATAGCCTGTACAACGGTGAAGTCAGATGCCGTTGTCACAAATGGCGGACATAACATCCGCTTCAACTCTTCAATCACTTGGTCCTCATTTCATCGGACTTTATCGTCGTTAATTCTGTGCATATATTAAGCTCTTGTGATGATGTATCATAAGCAATCCAAAGGACGATTCTCGGTTTGGAGAACAGTCTCCTGGGCTAAAAGTTTTTTCATGAAAAATATAGAAATATTACCCAAATTAAACTATGAATATTCGAAAGAGGACATTTAAATCTACAAGATGTAAAAGTAACAAATTGGTCTGAAGCAGGGATAACGCTCAATTAGACCGATTTAATAAAATATAAGTCTCGAATTGGGGAAAGAAGTTCATCAGTGTACTGCGCTAATATTTTTTAGCGAAAAATCTAGAAATATTACCCAAATTAAATTATGACTATTCAAAAGAGGACATTCAAATCTATATAATGTAAAAAAAATCAAATTTGTCCGAAGCAGGGATAATGCTCATTTAGATTGATGAACTTCGTTCTCCAAACCGAGAATCGTCCTTTCTATCTAATAGGGTCGGGAATAGCTACAATATAGCTACTTCGATATCGTCAATGACAACGGAAGCTGAATTTGAAATAATTTACAAAGATAACGGGATATGTTAATTCAGTGTCCGTTTTCCCGTGTCTCATTTTGATCGGTTAAATTAAAGACTTTATAACGATGGTAGAACATTAATAACTGCACAATGAGTATTCAGACACTTTGATTGATTGTTGTTCCAAAGGAATTTAGTCTAGGTGCTCTATTTTACATACAGTTCATGAAAATCTAATTGAAGCGACAGGTATGTCCGCCATTTGTGACAACAGTATCTGACTTTACCGTTGCCAGGCTATTCCGGTGTGGGTGTGTAATGTCGTATCTTAAATGATTCTGATGAATGATAAATCATTCTGGTTAGTCACTTTGGATTATGATGAGAAAATGCACGTAACATTGCATTAAGTTCATTAATATGAAACGAAATAACAAAACACACTTAACATTGTCGGTGTTCACGTCGTAACGTAATGTTTGATTTCTCAGTTGTTAAACGTCAACTGGTAAAAACTACATTCTATATGGCAAAAAAAGCTTTCTAGCGGTGAACTGAAACGGTTAGTCACTTTTAATCGAGACAAATAATTTTTATTTCGAAATCGTACGCTAGACTTCAGTAAAAAATTAGGATAAATTCCCATAGAAACGACAGGTTGGTTAATTGTAGGTCAGGAACCCAAGGCAAGACAATTAAATCGAGAGGAGACGGTCATGCCCAATTTGTTTGCAAGTTGACTTTTGTTGAAAGGAACAAAATCGGTAAAAAAAACGTTGTAGGCCACGGTATGAAATCTCTAGGACGTCTAATAAAGGAGCTGGTAGCACACTTTATAGCGTAATTCAACGTCGTTAAACTCAGTTATTTACTATTAGGAATTTTCTTAGCCATTATTGAGTTTAACCACCTTACTGATACTTGACAATAATATACATATGTAAAAACATAACTTCAAGCGATTTAATACAATATCATTGTGTTAAATGTTCATTTATAAATTATACTAGATATAGTAAAATGAGGCTACACTTACCAAACTCTAAAATGACATTTCCGCATGCCCGTCATTGTGTCTGTTCGTCCGCGGCTGTCCCGGATTTAAATTAGACTATTAGCGAAACGAAATTGTTGTCAAATAGATTGATAATTATTATCGCGATTACTCGGGATAAAATATCAATTTTGAGGATAACAGGTATCTTTGATTGCTTTATATAGCGCGTATATACACGCAAACTAGTTATTAATTGCAAACCTACTGTTTGTTAATGCAGTGCCGCAATGACGGTTAATTTCTGATACGATTTGCAATTTCGATGTTACCAGAACTGACTGACATTTTCGTTATATTCCAAACCTGTCTCCAGGTTTCTCCCCAGGTATCACTAACAAAAAGCTCATTACATGCTCATGTGTTTTCAACAAAAAGGCCATTCAAGCGCACTGAGACCCACAACATTCTTTGGAAAAACTCTGAAAAGGTTTATTGCGATCATTTTGTTGCGACAGCAACAAGCCGGCGCAGTTGACACACGCGAGTATCCGACAAGGTTGCCACAACGCAATTAACGGTTTAAGTGCGCTTGGATGAATTGCTTTTGTTGAAAACGTGTGAGCATGTAATTTGCAACGCATGGGCTCATTGTTATTTTTCTTGATACCTGGACGAATACTTATTATATATTATGTAATGCACTCGCTCGAGGGCAGCTCACAAACGCAGCCTAATGCCTGATGCCTTGGTAATGCCTTGGTCACATAGGCTCCGATTTTCACTACGGCGCCCGGCCGATTAGTATTTTGTTCGAAATCGGCCGGCGAGCCCGGGCATCGTACGGGCGCCGGGCGATGATCGCCACTCATCGGCCGATTTTTAGACATCGTACGGGCGCCGGCAGAGTTTTATCGCGGAGATAAAAGTTGCCGATGTCTTGGCGATTTTTTCTCAACCAAACTCATCGGTACCTACCCGGCCGTGTCCCGCCCGGTCATCGTACGATTATCTTACGGCGCCCGGTGGCATCGCACGGTCATCTTGGGATTTTGCGTGTTGATTTGTTTGATAAATCTTAATAATGATTACTTATAAAGTGATACAAAGGTTTTAAAAAGAATGAGGTAAGGAATTATAATTACTACACACTGTCAGAGATTTTTTATAAAACATAAATGGAACGATTAGGCTTACTGTAAAACAATGACACACATTTGAATGGCTGGGTGGGTGTGTTGATCTAGTCGTTCTTATACTGACATTAATCGTGTATGTCTGTCATACACATTGAATAGAGTGATACATTTTTATGCGTATTTCACCCATGCATATACTACAAATCATTTATCTTAAAAATCTTCTGAATGTTTTTGTGAGTACAGTATTTTCAAGGGTCACAATTTTAATACCAATAATATATAAGGCTAATGGGCCATATATGAGGAAGGCCTTGGGAAGACAGGTGGAAAAAGACAATAACAATGCTAGTGAGCTGGTGGATGATGAATATTTAGATGTGTCTAGGGAAGAGGGTAATACTCCACTTGAAATAGAAGAAAAAATTGCCAATTTCTTTGAAGATAGGCCATATTTTTATGACCAAACAAATTCTCTTTACGAGAACAGACAAAAGAAATATGCAGAAATAGGGAATTTTGCTAATAGCATCGGATGGACAGGGAGTAGACATGATAGTATTTGTTTATATGAAAGATCTGAGACTAACATAAAAGGGATTGGAAACTGTATGCGAGACTTGTAACCCCCGCGCCATGCTGCATGGTGGCGCCACTTGTCTCATCAAATTTCAGAGTATATTAGTCTCAGGAAAGATCTAGAAATGAATTAAGGTCAGGGTGCACTTTGATGAAAAGACCACGTGCAGTATGGCAAGTGATTTAATACGGTCATATCTTTCACCATGAGTACTTTCTGGGCATAAATACAGTGTTTTTATTTAAACAATATGTTTTCTTTCAATTGAAGTACCCGTGATAGTAAAAATATCAATCAAACAATTTGAAAAATTATGAATAGGGACCCCATGTCAGCTTCTAAATATTGAACCTATTTACTCAAAAGAGGATCTTCTTTTTCTGATTTTTATTGCATGAAAACATTATTATCCTGGAAGGCCTGTCTATCGAAGTATTTCGTTTTCAAATCTTGCATTCACGCCATGTGGAACAGTCATAATGGGTCTTACAATAATTTAGTATAAATCTAGAGGCCTGTAGATCGACCGATGTCCTGGCGGGTGCCGTACGGCCATCGGCAGATAGCCTTGCGATACCCGTGCGATGTCTTTCAGATTCAATTGATTACGGGCGCCGTACGATGCCTGTACTAATGCCTGGGTCACATTTGCTCCGATCCATCGGCCGGCGCCCGGCCGATTGAGTGTTTTGCTCAATATTGTATTCAATTTTGAACAAAATACTCAATCGGCCGGGCGCCGTAGTGAAAATCGTAGCAAATGTGACCAAGGCATTATGTGACCATACTCACGATTAGATCAAGACATCGGTGAAAAGTCACCGGCGCCCGGTCGATTTAGAAATCGGCCGATGACTACTCATCGGCCGGCGCCCGGCGGCTATGTGACCTAGGCATAACATTTGCTCCGATCCATCGGCCGGCGCCCGGCCGATTGAGTGTTTTGCTCAATATTGTATTAATTTTGAACAAAATACTCAATCGGCCGGGCGCCGTAGTGAAAATCTGAGCAAATGTGACCAAGGTATTAGTGTGAACAATGTACTTCCATACTTTTTGTGCTTCCTATTACATGTTTGGTTACATCTTTACCGTTTGTTCCTATAGTGACAGGACCGGCTAATATTCCTAATCCCCTAATTCCACCTTCGAAGTAAGTATGCGTTGTTCCCCTCAATGGCCAATTGTTATTTTTTCTTCTGTGTCCACCTTGACCTAAAACAAAATGCAAAAATAATATAACAACAGCATATAACAGCGATTTCAGATTAAATTATATTGCATGGAGAAAACAGCAAAAATGTGACATCCGATGATATATTTGTTTATTTACGCACCAGACGTGAATAGGAGTACTGTGTTTCCCCATAGACCAGCTTGTTTGAGTTTATCTATGATTCTTCCCAAGCCTGTATCTACTGCATTAACCATGGCTGCAATGGAAAACAGATTATAAAAAGGGCCTGGTAATGTTCATACGTGTCCTTTAACTTCGTTAATAATCAGAAAATTTGAAAAGGATCTCTGAATATTGACAATAATTACAATGGATGAATTGACCAATGGTTGAACTGCCCATGGTTGAGACAACTGAGCGCTTGGTTTACCCAGGGTTGAGTTAATCGAAGGTTGATTTGACGAAGGACAATCAATATACCTGCGACATCCTTCCTCGGAGAATTGAGTGGACCCAGTTTACCGTCAGTGATGTTTGTTATTTTATTACGATAATTTTCTGTTGGTGCAGGAAAATGTGTCTGGTAAGCCACTGTTAGAAACAAACGCTATAAAATAACAATTTGTTCCTTGCATCTTTATGTGGTTTTGAATTTCGAGTTTCTGACAGTGGGAATGAATAGGGTAATTTGGCATCGTTTGAGTCTGATAATTGGTAGTCATTTGAGTTGTTATACTATAACACTTGTTTAATGTTTCCTTTCAAGCATACCCGTAAGGTAATACACTTACAAAGAATGTTCAAAGGTTAAGGTGCTATGGAAGTTAACAGGAAATGACAAAACAAAAAATGTCAAAACCATGTTGGATTTAGAATTTTTTTTGAACCAGGATAACAGAGTTCTCTTTGGGCCTCCAGTCAGTTTAACTAGTTTCACATATCATTTACATGACTGGGAACACAATGGAAATGGTCAGAATGACCATAAACATGATTGAACAACCTTTTCAGCCCTCTGAAAATGTGACTGAAAATAGCTAAGAGTAGGTGCTCAGGAAAGGTCACCGAACAGAATCTTTTGACTTTTTCAGAAAATTCAAAGATTGTATCATATGTTAGACACATTTTCTGAAAAAACTAAAAGATTATGTTCATTGACCTTTACCGAGCACGTACTTTTAGCTATTTTTGAGTCACATTTTCAGAGGGCTGAAAAAGTTATTTCATCATTTTTATTCTGACCATTTTCATTGTGTTCCCGATCATGTGAATAATATGGGGAACTAGTTAAACTGACTGGAGGTCAAAAGAGAACTCTGTTATCCTGGTTCAAATAATTTTCAAAATCCAGCATGGTTTTGACATTTTTTGTTGTGTCATTTCCTGTTAACTTCCATAGCACCTTAACCTTTGAACATTCTGTGTAAGTGTAAAATTGTCAAAATCCAGCATGGTTTTAATTTTTGTTTTGTGATTTCCTGTTAACTTCCATATATAGCACCTTAAGGTACAGCTGGAAAATAACATTTTGGTAAAAAATTGCTATACCTGCACCTGTTATTTTCTGGTACAAAATAAAGTATGAAGGCATGTATCAATTTCCTTGCTTTTTTCAGGATCATTACATCGTTTTCCTTTAGAATTCGTAGGCGTTCAATGGGAACTCCAAGAATTCTAATATTTCACACTTTCTATTTATCCAAATTTTCTTTCAAAGTTTCCAGACAACACAGGGGCTACCATTGACCTGTTTCCAAGTTTACTAAACGTAGACAGTGTAATGATACTTTCCTGAAAAAAGCAATTAAGGAAATACACACATGCCTTCATTCTTAATTTTGTACCAGAAAATGACATGTGCAGGTATAGCTATTTATTACCAAAATGTTACTTTCCAGCTGAACCTTAAGCAACATCTTTGACACCAAAATAAACAAAGTCCGTTTATTTAGTTATTTTTTGTACCGATTATTGTATATTCGTAGTTATTATGTGATTGTGACATACCTTTTTTGGATTGTGAATTCCGATCCTATATATGGCCTTTTCTGTTATCAAATCTGTTCCAAAGATACCTTGGTCATTAACTGCTGGTGTTTCATTTTCAATCAGATCGAACCCTGAGAAAACATGATCAATAATACCAAGTCATTATTGTGGAAAACATGTACTGTGTTATGAATAAACGCCGACTACTAAGTTTTATTAGAAATAATAGCTGAGGGCCTTGGCTATTCGTTTTCCTACTTAAGACTCGGTATGAGTTGTTTATTTATCTAGCTTAATCCCCACACTGACTCTTGAGCCTTGGTAACATTTGCTCCGATTTTCACTACGGCGCCGGGCCGTTTGAGTATTTTGTTCGAAATTGAATACACATTGAGCAAAACAATCAATCGGGCGGGCGCCGGCCGATGGATCGGAGCAAATGTGACCCAGGCTCCGTTTTTCAGCAGCGGCGCCCGCGGGCCGGCCGGCTGATGAGTATTTTGTTCAAAATTGAATACAATCAGTACAATACAATACAATCAATCAGTGGTAAAACCGGAGCAAATGTGACCACGGCATTATGGAAGGTAAATGATCTATGATCAATTTCTTGGGAAATTTTTATTTCTTTTGTATTTACTATGGGGTAAGTGTTTTGAGAAGGGAGTGGGTGTAATTAAGTTTAATTTAAACAAAATGACTTTATATAGGGTTTCTACAAGGTTCTATTTTGAGAGGGCTCTTATTTTGCAACAACTTAAGTGAATGAACCTGTTTTCTTGAATAAGATAATATTTCACACATCATTTAATCTAACATGAAAAAATTTGAAGGAGTTCCACGTGGTTCTTTTCTGTCTGTTATAATTACAATTTCATAAATAATGTCTCAAAATGTTAATCACTTATATAGAATTGCATGTGCAATTGTACAAGTTTGTGCATGTAAGTTGTGCATGTTTTGCATCTGTTATTTATGGTATTAGGAAAAATTCCATCCCTATGATCGATTTAACCGAACACTATTTCAAGAAAAATTCAAAATGGCCGCCATATACCCATAATTTGGTACAAATAAAACTGTAGATTCATATATATATAGATAAATGTGGTTTAAAAATAATATTGATTCAGTAGTAAAGCATTTTTCTTAGATCTAGAAATACAGTCACATTCATTAATGATTTGAATTGGGACAAAACGACTTTATATAGGGATTCTACAAGGTTCTATGTTGGGAGGACTCTTTATTTTACAGCAACTTAAGTGAATGAATCTGTTTTCTCGAATAAAGATAATATTTCACACATCATTCAATTCAATATTTCAGGCTCAACGTAAATTATTGTCTTACAAATATAAAATAGCCTTTTAATAGCTTCTGGATCTATTTTACTGTTTAATTACAATCTCTCAAAATGTTAATCACTTATACAGAATTGCATGTGCAATTGCACAAGTCTGTACATGGAACTCCTGACTTTTTACAAGAGCACACAGAACATGGCTTTTTATATGAACATTTTACAAGAGCTTGCCAGGTTTTGGAGGCCTGTGTCTGGGTGGTCCACAGTGGGGTAACAGTTTCATTATTGACCCATCCCTAGTTGGTGTAGCCATAAAGGCCAGATGGTGAAGCATTTGGCATTTGTCCCCAAACTACACCAGTCTGGTAAGCTGTTCTTTTAATGTGCTGTTCCAAGGCATGGTGATTAGGTGGAATTCTCTCGATTGTTCTTCTGTTTTTGCAAAACACGTACTTTCTGGCTGCATTTATATCATTGTATTGCTTGTTCTGTCATATAACTATTGTCTGTGATATTTAATGGATCTTCCATTATCTTGATAAATGCCTCTGTCACACTACTAAACCCTTCCAACAGTTTTAAGGCCTGTTTTTACTATGCCCATGGAAAGCTGAGGTTGTGTCACTTCCTGTGAATGAGTGGAAAGCTGAGTTTTCCATATATGGAAAACACTCACAAATGAGTCGGGGTGTTTTGCTTCAGTACATGTAGTTGTTACAGAGATGTTATGCTCCCACTTTGTTTGAATGGAATTGTTACCATATTTTATATTCACATTTGTTTATTCTTATATCGCCATCCACGGCCTAAGCCCATGACATTATAAAATTATAAAAGGAATTTGTACCAGTCACATGAATGTGTTCATCAAATCTTACCTAGGAATTGTGATAATTTAAAAATTAAAAATAATTGTAGAATATTGGAAGGTTTAATTTCTATTTAGCAAATTCTTACACCATACATTATCATCATCGTGATTTGATAACCGAAAATCCAGTCTTAAAAATGATGACTATTTTCTCATATTCAAGAAACGCTGCAATCTGCTTAACACAGTGAACTGGAAACGCAGCAGTCCTAGGCAAGATATGTCTAGGAATTAGCTCGACTTTCCTTTTCAAGAGGAGAAAGAAATGATCTATTGTATCCTTTGGCATCAAAAGAAGAAAGATTAAATCACATATTTTTTGTCAATAGTTTTATGTTTTATAGCACACATGTTTTTAAAACATCATCTAATGTGGGCTTAGTCGGCTTGTTACATGTTTAGCACCAGGTTGAGAAGTTTCAATTTGCCCAACAAGTACAAAAGGTTTTTGAGAGATTCAAATCCAAACATTCCTCTAATAATCTAAAAATGATATGTAAACAAAATGGTAATAAATTTCGTTTCTAAAATTGTGTCCAAAATCAACAGAAACAAGCGAGGAAAACAAGCGACTTCTCGAGAACAAGTAATGGATTAAGACTCAGATTTAAGCAAATGAGAATATATGAGTTTGTGATCTACTTCTTTGACAGAAAGATTGACATTTTAATATAAATACTAGTTTAATTCGTAATCTGTGGTCAATTCGTCAACTTTAGATTTGTTTGACCTCAACTACGGAGCTTTGATCAGGCAAATAACAGTTTACCACCAGAAGTTGAATAAATAAGATCTTTGCTCAGGGTATTGTTCATCGAATGGTTCATATTATCCTATGACAAGTGAGGTTTCAGGTACATAACAGCGGGATATAAAATCGATATCTTTGAGGAGCGGGACATATATATATCTCCCGCTGTATATCTCCCGCACCAATATTCCCGGGAAAACGTTTTCGCTCGGTGTAGAAACAGTCAAAATTCGTTAGAATATCTCGCTATAGCGAAACTACCAAAATGGAAGCAGACGGCGGTTGATATTTTCTTGACCAAAACGTCGAAGAATTTCTTGAAAGCAATGAAAATGAGAATACTCTCAAAAAAACCATTTTGGATATGGGCGTTCTCAAATCCTTTCTTGTACAGAAAGGCGAGCTAAGACCAATAGAAACAATTGAACCAGAAGCACTGAATGATCTTTTGGCTTCATTTTTTGTCAATGCAGTCCAAAAAATGGAAAGGAGTATCAGCCGAGTTCAGTGCGAGCTTTCTTTGGGAGCTTCATCAGGCATTTGAGCAGTTACTTTGTATGACTTTATGGCATTGTAAAATATATTTATATGATTCCATGCATGCGATTTCTTGCGAGCGTGGCTCATAGATCTTGATCTTACAGTATTGTGTAAATCACATTGCCTCGTGATATAGGCACAGTATTTGACAAAATGTTAAACCTATGGTGGCTTACTATACTTATTAATTTGTGTATGTGTTTTCAGGTGCCATGGGAATGTTTGATCCAACGGCATTGGTATTTACCATGTGGTGGAACATTGTGAATCAAGTTGGGATGCGCACTGGTAAAGAAAGTAGGATGATAACCTGGGGAGATCTGCTACTACACGAATGTGATGGAGATGACAAAGCCTATGTCACGTTTAGAGAACGTACAACCAAAACGCGTACTGGTATTGATGTCAACAATACAAGAAAAGACATTCCAAGGATGTACAGCACGTCTGGAGATATCAATGATCCAAAGGATCCTTTTTCTATATATAGGAAATTCTGTGAAGTAAGACCCCCGAGTATGAAGGCGACTGACTCCGCATTTTACCTCGGCATCAATTCCTCATGGAACAAAGATGATGGGCCTGGTATATGGTACACATGCGCACAGATGGGTCACAATACAATTTCCAGAATGCTGAAAGATGCACTAACAAGAGGTACGGTGTATATATAATCTCAGAAGAAGGATAAGATATTGAAGTTTTATACGAGGGGTGATCCAAAAGTCTTGGACGCCCTGCTCTAATTTTCTTGGTTTTTGATAAAGTTACTTTATGTGTGATTGAGTTGGTTTTTCAGACATTACAATTTTCAATATTTTCTAAGTCGATACCCTGACTCATTCCCAGACTCATCCTTTACTTATATCAGTTCCCTAAGTTGTCGTTTATTGTATTTCCAGGTGCCATCAAAACAAGTGACATTGATGGTAAAGTAGCGAATTATAGTGCCAGGAAGACATTGATTACCACTATGAGAGACAATTCTGTCGATGCCATTGATGCAATCAAAATAACCGGCCACAAACGCGTCGAATCCTTAAATGAGTATGACAAAATGAGTGATGCCAAGAAAGCTAAGATAAGCCATGTAATAAGTAACTTCAAGCCTCAATCATCATCGATATCTGACACAGCGACCTCTAGTGAAAGTCTACCTGTTCCTCAAAGTGCCCTCCCATCAATGAATTTTGAAGGAATTCATAGAGGTACCTTTTATATCAACTTCAATATCCCACCTACAGGAATCTCAAAGAAAGTTATCCAGAGAAAGAGATGCAAGAGACTAGTAATAGACAGTGACAGTTCACAATCACAGCAATCTATGATTACTAAGAACTATAACAGACTCTGTATTGATAGTTTATGACTGTTAACTTTTCCATTTTAACAGATTTTTTAATAATCTGAAATATGTTCTTTTAAATTATTGACTTTCTATCAATGTACATGTTTCATATACGACAAATAAAATCAACATTATTTTAAAAAGTCAAATTTTTTTCAATTTATCAGTTGAGGGAATAATCAATGTCTCATAGATAAAAGTCACTGGTCATAGGATAAATTAGTTATGTGATGCTCGGTTTTGGATATGGGGTATATCCAAAAAAACCATAACATAACCATCATATATGTTACCATAATATATGATATGCATTAGAGAAACAAAAGAAACAATTCTAGCAGTCATACTGGGATCTTCATTAGCCGCCACTTTATTTCGCTCCACAGCATTGCCGCATGAACGAAATGCTTTGTCGTGCATGTAAGAGCGTTTGGGTTAGACACTGTGAAGAAATACATTAGATATATTTATGGGATGAATTAGTATTTTACATTTGGTCAAAATTCTACAAATAATGGTAGATTTTTGTTAGATTAAATTTCTAATTTGCAAATTTTTACTCAAATTTTAAATCACCTTCCCACTTGGTATTTCATTCCTCATTACTAAAGAGTCATGGCAAACCACATATTGCATATTCATAACCAATAAATGCAAAGGATGCATCGGTGGACTGTATTAATGTTCTTAACCTCAATCAAAATTAAATGAATAATTAAATTTCTTTTCAGTGGTCATGATGTCGCTGTAATAGTCTGTAATTGTGAATGCATGATACATGTCTGTACTCTATAAACCATTTATTTGTGAACATCCTTCTATTCTTTAGTCTACATTCATTTATACAAACTGATTTGATATACAGTAGAGCATCAAAATCTAGAATTTAAGAACAGTATTACTAATTATGTTTAATTCATAGAAGTAGGGTTATACAAACTTATAAATGAACAAACAAAATAAGAGTGGGACCAGAAATGAACCTTGCTTAACTCCCATATAATTATATATTTTGACTTAAGCTCATGACATGTATTATTTAGTGTCCGTATTAAGTGCATTTAGTCCCGAAAACACAATTTAAACGTTATATTACAGCTATATTTGCCAACTCAGAGCTAAATATATTATCCGAGCTATAGTGTGTCGGCCATCTTGGCTTTTGGGGGAAAAAGTAAAGAAATCCATCGATCACAGGGACAGATTTTTAAAAAAATGTTTGAAGTAGTAGAAAAGCTTCATACTTATATCACCATCTGAAATATTCTGCCAAATATAGGGGTAAATTCCCACTATTGAGAAATAAAAAATTAGAAAGAGATATTATGAGAACTTAATGAAATACCCTCATATATACAATTACATAATGTAGTGAAGTAATACCTTGAACGTTATTCTTTTTATCCCAACAATTTTTCACACATTTTCTAAATTTGTCACTCCTGTTTAAGCAACAAGGCATTCCCGAAGTTGTCTCATTGCCTCGTCGTGTGCATGCAGTGAATGTATGGTTAATCTGGTTTTTCCATGGTCCATAACTACCTGAAAAGTATTTTATAATAAACACAATGTTACAATTAATGTATACATGTCAAACAAAAAATGAACTTATATGAACTTATATGAACTTATATTATAGCCAGCAAATCCATGTGACAAGATATGAATATGTCGCTTTTAATATATCAATTCAGCAAATGTATTATCACACTCAGTGATCGGAAAAATGAATGGTGGGGAGGGGGGGGGGATTTTATTTTTTAAGAGAAAATTTACGATTGAATTGAACTTAGTAAGAAACTTGATATTATTTCTCTGAAGAGTGAACAGATTGTGAATTTTGAAGTTGTCATTGTAATATTTGTTATCATGTCTTATATACACATTACCACCCCCTCCATCCAATTTTCAAAAAATTCCTAGAAGACGTCACATAGTTTATCATGCCGTGCACCTATTTATTTAGCAATTCAATTGTGAACTTTCGCTTCGAAAGATAAATCTTCCAGATTTGTTGAATTTTCTTGCAGAAATCACCTACTCCGCCTCCATCCTTTGTGTCCGCTCATATGGCTTGCTTATCATTGCAAGCAATTTAGAAGCAAATGAGTCAATAAAAACATATCAAACGAGATTGGTGAAATTGAACAAGTTCAGTTCAAGACTCCACATTCCGGATTTAAAAAAATGATTTCGACATCTGGTATTGATGAGAAAATGAGAAAGAAAATGTATGTGTTCTATCCTTACCAAGTTGAAAGCAACATATTGAACTTAAGTGTGACAAAAGCGAAAATTAGAAAAATAACATAGACGTTGACTAGTCGTAACCAAAAGCCTAAAAAAATCAAGAAATATGTCCTGTTGAAGAAATTAACAAGATATAGAAATAAGCAGATGTTGCATAGCGTACCATAGAAGTAATCAAATCCTCTATTTCTAGGTAAACAAGACGTCCTTGAATATCCCATATGCCATTTACCAATGAAAGACGTAGAGTAACCAACACGTTGTAACCTCTCAGCCAGATTAAGTTCATCGTGGGGAATACAATTGTCTACGGCATTAGGTATGGATGCCATTGCACCAGTATTTGGCTGAAACATGGTTAAAATGTATGAACAAAACGCGAAGAAAATTCAAAAAATTCAAGGCAGGCAGATAAACAAATCAGGTCTTATTTTTAGATGTTATCGTTTATAAGTTAGTCCAGTTTTTTCTGTATGGTTAAGGTCATTTAAATATTGTTTCGTAATTAGGTTTGACAAATTAAATGTACAATAATATTAGGATTAGTGGCAATGTTTTTTTAGATATACATTTTTAGTTTTCCGAAATAAATAGCGTGTTTTAACAACAGTATTCAATTATGAATATCTAATTTTTCCTTCTTAGTTACTAATTTTAAAAGCAATGGCTCATCTTTGATATTATGAATATAACCAGTGCTTTCAAAGACGCGTCCCAACATGGAAGAGGACCCAGATTTTGATTGCGCGACTCAACATTTCAAAATGATAGGTCCATAGGACACATTCTGACTTTGATGTAAATTACCATAAACATAACTGTAAACATCATCCTAATATGTGCAAATACACAGAGGAATGCAGCAACATATATTTTATGTGCTATTTCAAGAAGAAATCGATCTGAATTTATTGAAAAATTGAAATATGTTGGGCAATAAAAGAGTTAATGGAGAATCATTTACTTTGTGTCCCGAATTCGCTTGAATAAATAAATGATACTTACAAATTGGATGCTATCCCATTATGACTTCCTAACATCAAAATGGTCCAATTTATTGAAATCAGATTGACTTTGAGGCCAAATCTTTCAGAAAAACGTTATGCACCATATTTCCGAACGTGCAAAAATTAAGACTAGATTGTTCTGATTTTTTTCATTGTATTACTCAAGATAAACAATACATGAATCAATCAAATGAAGTTTGCACCTCTTGATTGTTGATTTACTTAAACCTACATTCATAAGTTTCAACCAAAAGGAACAATGGGCAACGTTTTGAAAACAGGAGTTGAAGAATAAGAAGGGTTTATCATCAGAAACTTAAACTACAACCATGGGCATTCTAACTTAAATATATGTTGGTGAATAGTTTTAAAAATATTTCCTCCTGGGGCTTAAGGCTAAGTGCCTGTTGTTCTATATCCGAGTAGTACCCCTAAATGCTATACAATTGGTGGGAATGGTCAGAGCCCATTGGCAGGGAATTAAAACAACATGATTTTCATGGGACCCACGTTTTTAAAGGCAACCCATTTTTAAAAATGTTGGGTCCCTGAGACCCACTATAGACATCGCGAATGTAAGCGCTGATAACTGTACTTTGCTGATAGTTTACTCACGAAATATGTTCCTGTTATCAGACTTGCTCTAAAAGCAGTTGAAAACGAGTCTACATAATAATTATCCAATCGTATTCCTTCTTTTGCCAAGGCATCTATGACAGGTGTTACAAACTTGGGATTCCTGAAGCCTACGTCATTGTACCCCAGCGCACCAGATATAACGAGAACAATATTCGGAGTATCTGTAATTTAGAGAACGTTGTTGATGAATTATGTAAACTATTTTACTCAAATGTCTAAGCACAAGTGCCGAAAGGAAAGGACAAACGTTGTAATGGAACCTAGCAAAAAGCAAACTCTAAGTGCGTGCCAGTCATAAGTAAAACAAACCCCATATTACCCAAAACCATGATCCAACGTGAAAAAAACAATGTCTACCCCCTTCCTCTCACTGTTCAAGAAGTTGAACAAATATCAGACTTGCCAACCTCCCGTTTTTTACGGGAATCTTCGGTAAATTTTTTGTTTTTCCGTAAAAACTCCCGTACCGTGTTCTCCCGTAAAAACTCCCGCAAACTTCCGTACCGTGTTTCTACTAAAATCTCCCTTAATTTTTAAAAAAAATATGGCCGTAAAATCTCCCGTATTTTTGCTGAAATCTCCCGTAAAATCTCCCGTATTCTGGTATAACTCCCGTAAAATCTCCCGTATTCTTGGTATAACTCCCGTAAAATCTCCCGTTTTCTGGTATAACTCCCGTAAAATCTCCCGTATTCTTGGTTATTATTGTTGCAGGCACGCTTCTTTCTTGAGAAGGATTGGCTCCCATGGTTGACTATCGATATTTTCATAAATAACTTAAAAGTACTTCATTTCCATGATTCAAATTGCTTTTCTGCGATCAGTTCGGTATAAGTTTGCACACCAAATGTCCACAAACGGGGGCCAGTTCATATTCTGTCATACTTCTGTCGGGAGAATACATTTTGTTTTTATATGGCGCTAAACAAAATATTCCAAAAATATAAGGCGCATTATGAGTAGGGACTGCTGTGAAATAATGAACGTAAGTGACATCTATCTTAGATTATAAGTTCTAATTAATTTATGAACTGCGCATGCGTCATAATAATTTCAACCAATTAAATCGCTGGATTTAATCCTCATGCGCGAAAAACCGAACCTAAAAATGGAACCTCACGCAGATTGTAAAAGTAAAAGTAAAGTAAAAATCCATTTTTTCAGAAATCTCCCGTAAAATCTCCCGTTTTTCAAAATCTACCGTAAAACTCCAGTTTTTCCGAAATCTCCCGTAAAAACTCCCATTTTTTCGAAATATACCGTAAAACTTCAGTTTTTTCAGAAATCTACCGTAAAAACTCCCGTTTTTTCAGAATCTACCATAAAAACTCCCGTTTTTTCGGAAATCTACCGTAAAAACTCCCGTTTTATTAAAAATCTTCCGCAAAAACTCCCGTTTTTTAAAAACCTACCGTAAAAACTCCCGTTTTTTCAGAATCTACCACAAAAACTCCTGTTTTTTTTAAAATCGTCCGTCAAAAGTCACGTTTTTTTTAAATTACTGCGAAAAATACCTTTTTTAAAAACTCCCGTTTTTTTAAATCTCCCGTAAAATCTACCGTTTTTTTCAAAAATCTCACGTAAAAACTCCCGCAAAAACTACTGGATTTTGAAAAAAACTCACGTAAAAGTACCGCAATTTTATTTAAATCTACCGAAAATTTTTCATTTTAGGTTGGCAAGTCTGAAATATCAGAATCCAAGACAAGATCAACAATGTACATTTCATTCAAATTAAAGCATTTACAAAACACGTTAAAATACATTAGAATTTATAGAGAATACTCATTACATCAAACATATGTAGTTGAAGATAGAAGAACTCATATTAAGATAGAGCATTCCGATGATGTGGGATAGACAAATTCCAAAAGCGTATCAAACGGTCAAAATTCGTTTGTAAAGCCTTCGCCAAAATACATGAAACAATCATTCACAATGGTCAGCGAGCAGGAGAAAACTGTGTATGGTTAATTTCAATACCTATTTTCAACCAAATAAGCTATCAGTCCGATGTGACATGATTTACGTGCGACATGAAGCCATTTGGGGGTCATTAGAGATGTTAAGCTACACGTATTTAACAAAACTTGAACGTGAACTTCAATGCGCGCGCAGATAAATGACGTCAGATTTGTTTATTTCCTGTAGGTCAGCGTGAAGTTTACAGGTTTTTACATGAGATTATCATATTGGTGCACTTAACAGACGCGTATTCAACAAAGCATGAACGTGTACCTCTATGCGCGTGCAGGTAATGACGTCAGATTAGTCTACTTTCTACAGGTAAGCGTGAAAGGCTAATTTGATACCCGGGACTTAGTATAATGTGTATACTAAACGAAATGAAACGATTACGATTGTCTAATCACTACATTTGATTTGCGAACGAGGCGTTTTCTTTGTATAACGTCGTCCGCTATTGGTATGAGCAAAAAGTGATACTAAATTAATTGTGGTTGAATATGAAATAAAGCAAAAAAACAAAAATGTTTTAGGGGGCTAGATTTGAACCCAGGCCTGACGGACACCATTGCACCATAGAGCCATGACCATTGGACACAGTCACCACATAAATATACCCCCACGTCCACTGACATAGTTTCAGACGTGTAGCTTAACAAAAAAATCGTAAACGTGTACTTGAGCGTGGATTTACGCGTTCAGGTTCACGGTTTGCATTTGAACGTGTAGCTTATCTTAACCTCTCTAGTGAGTAAACTATTTTACGTGCGACATGAAGCCGGTTAAGAGGCAATGAGTAAACTATTTTACGTGCGACATGAAGCCGGTTGGCGTAAGGCAAGCACGGCTTTCATACCTTGTTTCCTACGGATGTCGCATGTAGTCCCTTCCCAGTCTGATGTGCAGTCGCAATCTACTCCAGAGCCTGACACTGCCATCTTGCACGTGCCACCATTTTTACATGCGTTTGGCATGCATATTTCACATGTGTTTCCACTCCATCCAGACATGCACGTACAAAGGGTTCCTCCTTTTCTGTTGTCCGAACACACTCCCCTATTTTTACATGGATTTGGTATGCAATGATCCGTTCTAATTGCACACGTACTTCCGGTAAAGTGTGATCTGCATTTGCAGCTGAATTTATTTCCGACGGTTGTACACACACCTTTATTTTTACACGGATTTGGCGAACAATTTCCAACTTTTGCTCCGCATTTTCTGCCACTCCAGCCAGGTTTACATTTACATTTTTCTTTTGATTTGGAAATTATACAAGTACCCCCATTTTCACATGGATTTGTAGAGCATTGATTAGTTTGAATTTTTGTTTCACACGTTTTACCCGTCCACTCCGACCCACATGAGCATATGTAGCCTTGGTCTGTGTCAGTACATTGTCCACTATTCTTGCATGGATTTGTAGAGCACTGATTAGTTTGAATTTTTGTTTCACACGTTTTACCCGTCCACTCCGACCCACATGAGCATATGTAACCTTGTTCTGTGTCAGTACATTGTCCACTATTCTTGCATGGTTCAGACGAGCATCCTACTTTCTCAAAAATGGAACAAGTTGGTCCACTCCATTTTGGCGAACACGAACATTTAAATTCTCCAGATCTTAGATTGTCGCAGGTTCCGTTGTTTTTACATGGATTTGACATACAGGCATCCCGTCTTTGGCATTTAGGCCCAATCCACCCAGGATGACATATACATTTTATGTCCTTTTCTGAACCTTTGTCGAAACACGTCCCATTATTCATACAAGGACTAGAATTGCATCGATTGAGTTCTATGCATATTGGTCCCGTCCATTCGCTAGTACATGTGCACTTAAAGCCCGTTCCATCAGTAGAGCAATGGCCACCATTTTTACATGGGGAAAAATTACACGGATCTAAAATGAATCAGTGCTAAGATTTATGTCAACTTAGTAAATTACACATTTTCACCACTATACTTAAGCATGAGATCTCAGCTAAATATATATGAGCAAACATGACTAAAAATGAATGCATATCTATGAAAATAGCACCAATGAATGGTATGTGGTATGGTTATTTTTACACGTTCTATATCCATTGTTCCTATGTAATACCTGGACACGATTCATCGTCTGCTTCTACTAAAGGTCCAGTGTAATGCTGGTACAGAGGGCCATCATTGGTGTAATACCCAAACTCAAGGATATAACCAGATCTGGTCCTTGATCGTCTGTGTGCACTATCTCCTGTCGTGTAACATTCGCCCCACTCACCCCATGCTAAAAGATATATCCAAATGAGCATGATTATTACATATCAATTTAAGAAATATCGATTTTCAGGTAAGATAAAGGGATTGTAGTTTTTTAAGCGTTCAATCTATTAAAACTGATAATGGAATACTTGCATACGATATTTCGAGCAATCCATTGCATTGTGTTGTTAAGGAACAAAGACGTATGATACACCTCTGCTACTTCCGTTTTTGAACAGCCGGTCCTAGTGAGATAACTATTTAGAGCGATGACTACATCTGACTGTGGTGGTATTAACAGTTGATCGTCCTTCCGGCTTCTACCTTCGTTTTCTTTGTCGCATTGCAAAGGACCCCCGCTAAAACCCTAAAATGTTGATTCATATTAACGAGGCGTATAGCCTTTTTTATTTTTTCGTGTAAACTCAGTAAAATTACGATTTCTCTGCAACCTGATGCCCAATCAAGATCATTCAAGTATCTATCTGTTCTTGACACGTTTGATCGTCCGGGAAGAACAACGCCTGTCAAAGTTTAACGTAATTCATGAATGAAATCGGGAAGACAAAATTTGAGATTCACAAACAAAATTGCATGTGAAAACTATTTACAGAAGTGTACAAGAGACTCTAATCTACTTGACTAAGGTTTTATTTGAAGATTCATTGCCTTATTAAGCAGGTAGAGGGGAATACAGGACACGGAAGCAAATGCCGAGTCGAAAATGTTCTATATTTCAGATTGTCACGTAGGCCTACTAGGCCAATGTTTTATTTGGGGATTATATGTACTTTACTTGTTTACATGAACGTAAATTATTACGTGAAATCTACAGTCCTTCGGGTTTTATCTTGGTTTGTATTGTCCTATTGGGGCTTTCCGACTTTAAAACAAACCTTACCTAAATGGATTTTTGTCTCGGGAACATTTGTAAATAGTTATTATAAACAATTCTGCAAGAATATCACATATTTTTGTCTTCCCGATTTCAGTCGGGGTGCAGAGAAATCGTAATTTTAATGAGTGGCTTCATGAAAAAATAAGCAACACTTTAGGCCACCTTAAGGGTAAGGATTTCTTTGTTGACAGTATAGAGATCTAAGGATTATGGTTCCCAAATGATGGGGAGGGGCGTAAGTAACTGTCACATAAAGCCACGTGAGCTCACCGTTCGCAACCGTGTGAATAATTTGGGGCATTTTTAAAATGATTAATTAATTGTTATACTTGATAAGGGGATGTCTAGCCGTCTGCTCCAAAAATATTCAAACTTTGGTGAACAGTATTCAAGAGGTCAATGGTCCTGTGGTAGTGGGTTGTGATTCTGATTAATAAATGATAATAATGATGGTACTGATAGTATACAGGATGGTCCATAGTGAACCCTTGCAACAAGTAATATCTCACTTATTACAGACGTTAAAGGGCTGATACAGGGTGACCCAAAAAAATGCAACCCTCCATTTCTTCAATATTTTTCTGAAATTGAGATAAATTGCTCTGAAATTTGGCACACAAGGACTTCATTCAATGTGGGATCCTCTGAAAAAGTTTTAATAATCATAGTCTTATATTCATAGAGTTATGGTTGTTTCAAAATATGCTCCAGATGTCGTCAATTTCGCTGAAAACAAACTTGCAATGTTCAAGGAAAACTGTTCATAACACGGATGCATTCTTCCCCATGGGTATGGCTCAAACTTTTTGCAGCCATTGCTTATTGGAGTTCTGCAATTGCGGTAGGGTTATTTTCATACACATTATCCTTGAAATAACCCCATATATAGAAGTCAGGGGCATTGAGATCAAGACTGTGGGATGACCATGGGTTCTCTGTCCTAGGAGAGATCATCTTCTCATAGAAATGACTAGTGAGCCAGGCTATGCTATCATTAGAAGTCTGAGGAGAAGCTCCATCCTTCTAGAACCACTGTTCTTGTCTATTGAAGCCTCTATGCCACTCCAGAACTGCCTAGAACTTCCTGGGAACGCAAATATTGCGCTGTGTGTTAACAGTAACAGTGTTGGCATTATCAACCTCAAACCAAAAGGGGCTGATGATTTCATGTTTGGAAATTGGCAGCCCAAGCTGTGCATTTAACAGAATGAAGGGGCCTTTGAAGCACTTAATCTGGAATTTGTGATCCCAGAACACATTATTTCTCGAGTTTACATGTTCAGAAAGAAGGGAATGTGATTCATCTGAAAACCTAACATTGGAAATGGACGATATTTGGAGCATATTTTGGAACGACCATAGCTCTATCAATATAAGACTATTATTATTGAAACTTTGCCAGAATATCCCACATTAAATGAAGTCATTGTGTGTCAAATTTCAGAGCAATTACCCTCCATTTAAGAAAAATATTGACGAAATGGAGGGTTGCATTTTTTTGGGTCACCCTTGTATTTTCACGTTTTCGAGGAATGTCTAAACTTTATGTAGGTACCATGAAGGTCCAATGGTATCAACAGACATGTCTCACTAATGGGTGATGTACCCAATCCATGCTTAAAGATTCTTTATAACCGCTGCAACGCATAAGCTGTTCCCTCCATTAAAATACAAAATATCCCTATAGTGGGGCCAGTTAGCTGTTCAATTGCACTTGCTATATATAAAGCACCATTTTTTGACCAAAGTATCCTTAATACATATAGTTTTGATATCTAACGAAGTGGTAATGAAAAGTGCCCCCATTTAATAATAGCAGCCCTTGAAATTTTTGCATTTTTACATTGAGCCCAATGTTAATTTATCAATCTTCTAAAGACCCCCTTCAGAACAGTTCTAGAGTAATAAAGCCCATATTCCCAGTATGTTACAATTATATAATTATCTTCAAAATAAGAAAGGTTAAATTTTTTCTTTTGCCTAGTTCCAAAGATATTGGCCTTTGGATTTTGGAAAATTCCCATTGACTGCCATTATAAACCGCTATCAATATGGCTTTAATAAAATGTCCTTTTCTCAAAAAGTTTACTATGGAATTTTCTGATATTGCAGATTTCTATAGTTAATATATTTACTTAAAAAATCAAACAGACACACTTCTAAAAATTTCTTAATTTCGAAATATTAAGCTGTTAAGTTGCACACAAAACTACAAAAAACCTATATTGAGCCCAATGTTAATTTAGCGATCTTCAAAGGACCCCCTGCAGAACAGTTCTAGAGCAATAAAGCCCATATTCCTAGTATGTTACAATAACATGATTATCTTCAAAACAAGAGGGTTTAATTTTTTTCTTTTCGCTCGTTCCAAAGATATTGACGTTTGAATTTAGGAAAATCTCCATTGGCTGCCATTATTAACCACTATCAACATGGCTTTACTAAAGTGTCATTTTCTCAAAAAGTCCACTATGGAATTTTCTAATATTGCAGATTGCTATTGTTAATATATTGAATTTAAACAAATCAAACAGACACATTTCTAAAAATTTCTTATTTTTGAAATATTAAGCTATTAAGTTGCACACAAAACTACAAAAAACTATATTGAGCCCTATGTTAATTTAGCGATCTTCAAAGGACCCCCTGCAGAACAGTTCTAGAGCAATAAACCCCATATTCCTAGTATGTCACAATAACATGATTATCTTCAAAACAAGAGGGGTTACATTTTTTCTTTTTGCTAGTTCCAAAGATATTGACGTTTGAATTTTGGAAAATCTCCATTGGCTGCCATTATAAACCACTATCAACATGGCTTTACTAAAGTGTCATTTTCTCAAAAAGTCCACTATGGAATTTTCTAATATTGCAGATTGCTATTGTTAATATTTTGAATTTAAACAAATCAAACAGACACATTTCTAAAAATTTCTTATTTTTGAAATATTAAGCTGTTAAGTAGCACACAAAACTACAAAAAAACTATATTGAGCCCTATGTTAATTTAGCGATCTTCAAAGGACCCCCTGCAGAACAGTTCTAGAATAATAAACCCCATATTCCTAGTATTAGTCCATGGTATGACTTCCGAATATGAAGGATCCGTAGCATACTATAGCGCAGCAACATTTGAAGCAATATTTATGAAGGTGTATATGTCTTGATTCTTTTAAAATACCATTTGCTGAAAAAACGTCCGGCTTTCGGGTCGAAACATGTATTTCATCACAAGGGGTCAAAAAACGTAAATATTTTGATTCGAACTTTTATACATTTTATGAGACGCAGACTGTTATTCTAAGCATACGAACAAAAAAATTGAATATCATAATGTCAAAATTACAATGATTTTTCTGTAGATGTCGGTGTTTAATTAGTGTAATTACACAAGTGTGTTTTTCGGATTTTGTTTTATTTTTCAAATATGAGCTAAGCCGATTCAACAAAATTGTATGGAATATTTAGGTAATATTTTTTTGATTGGGAACATATTAGTTTTCTTACCAGTTAAAACATTTTATTACCAGAATTTTTCCATATAATCGTAAAGGGTCTAACAACAAATTATTGTCGATGTTTTATAAAACATAATACAATAACAAATAAGGTAAGATTCATATCTAATTCGATGTTACAGAGGTATTTGCATGTTCATATATTCCAAGGGCATGTCTAATAACCAATTAGAGTTATATGCAGTCGAACGCCTTAAAATTCTTTCTCGACGTTAGTTGTGGCTATCATCAAGTTTTCTGATGGTTGTTTCTTCTTTGACCTTACCGAAGGATATAATCAAATTTTAGGAAGATAATGATAACGATTTTTCTCAATTATTCATGAATTCGACCAAGTCGTGATGGTTGTTTCATTAGCAACTGACCTATATCTAACTACGAGAAATAGAACTTTAGCTGTAGTCGCAATTAGTCAAGGAAGAGCAATAGGCCCACCTTTATTAATAATGTTCACCGCTGAATAAAAGTTCATATCTTAAAACGTATTGAGACCCATTTTGTGAAAACCTAGCATAATTTAAGCATTTGTCATTCTAATATAAAAGTGATTAATTTGTAGCATTTATCTTATTAATACCCGAGAAACAATACAAAATGTCGATACACTGATGACATAATCTTTTGGTATTGATAAGAAAAATAACCTCAAACTTTTAGCTTAGAAACCTAAATCATATACTTAAAATCATATTTTATTATTTGCTATTGCATTGTGTACTCCAAATTGTGAAAGTTTGGACGTTTATTTTTTGGAAATTTTTTGAC